AAATGGCACAGAAACAGGTACAAACTTCTGAACCAGGTCATGCTGTTGTTGGCACCTTACTGTCTTCACAGATGACAGTAGTGTTGTAAATGTCCTAACAGGAGGCATGGGACTTTTGGCCCATGGCAATGGCCATTGTGACTAGCAAGACCCACCCACGTTAAGAGAACTCTTCAACGATTAAGGCATGGGATTTCAGGACTGTTGTTGTCAACATCTGTATTCAGTTTGTTTCTTCTCAAATGCTCAGCTCTCATAATTTTTGCCATCTTTCTTCCTTCATTTTCACTTCATTCCTGATATCCCCCCCCCCCCCCCCGCAACAGGTCATTTTACAGAACTATATATATATATATATACAATTAGCCATGTTAAAAACAAGTATAACCATCAAACATATACACATGAAACCGCAGAGAATATAATACAGACAGTATTTCTGACCAAGTGAACCTATCAAAATATTTTACATAGTCAACAAACCAGTCATATTTTTACAGTACAACAACAAATCATCAACATTTACAGTAAATTCAAAACCAATCAAAATTCACAGAAACTAAGCCAATCAAACATTATTTCTCACAGTGAATACACCAATCAAAAAGTATGTAACATCATCAAAATATCTCACAGAAACATACAGATCTGCAGGTCTGCCAAGTCGAGCCAATCAAAAACATTTATACATGTGAATTCACCAATCAAATTGCATTTCTCACTGTAAATAAACTATCAAAAGAACATGTATGAATGAATACTCAATTACTATTTATGCTAATGACTGAATGAATCAAATCTGTTTGTGATTACACCAATATCAATTAAGACAATGAAGATGCACATTTTGTTCTTAATAGTAAAATGCCCAAATAATATTCAGTCTATCAAACATTATCAGCAACTAATCCTAAATAATTAACATTCAAAATGAATACCCCACTAATGTGCACGACAATTAAACAATCCAAAAAAAATATTTTACACTCAATAACCAATCAAATAACATTTATGATAATGAACAAACCAATAAACAGCATTCCTACAATAACCCAACCAATCCAAGAACAGCAGACATTTTGCACACCAATTAAATATTTACAATAAACCAACCAATCCAAATACAGTAGACTCTAAAAGCAAATATCTTTTACAATAAACAAATCAATCAAGCAGACAAGGAATACACCAATCAGTAAATACAATAAATCAATCAATCACACAATTTCACCAGTCAAATCACAACACTGACACCTAGCACTCTTACAAATACAGATCTTTTGCAGTGGTAAGTTACGTGACGTGTTTAGAAACCACCAACCAATCAATTTCACCAATCAAATCACAACACAACACAGACACTGAGCACTCTTACAAGTACAGATCTTATGCAGTTGTAAGTTACGTGACGTGACATGTTTACAAACAGTGCTTTGTGAGAATTATTCAGTGTAATCTATAGGATGTGGATGAAAATATTGCTTGTCGCATGCTCAAACAGATGTCAGGTTGTCACACAAGCGATTATATCATCAGGTCATCACACAAGCAATTATATTGTCAATAACTATCAGCTACAAGAACAGGGGTTGGGAGTTATAAAGACAACAGTCTGCATTTCTTCATGTTACATTTCCACATAAAACTGCCGTGAGGACAATGTGTCCCACTTTGAGTGCACTAGATTGAGAAGGTGAGTTCACATGATAATATGGGATGAGTTTTAGAGTTCAAATGGCAGAAAAGTTTCAAAATGTAAATGAATCAAAGCTTTACAACACATCAGATTCATTAAATAATCTCAGAATTCAGTTCTCTTTATGCTTGTCTGTCATTCGCCAACACTGACAGTAATTCTAACTTAATAATTACATTTAATGTTGCAGAAAATATGTGTGAATGTATACTTGTTAAGACAGGGACATTTCATAAAGAAGGACAGACATGAAACTGAAATCATTACAATATATATCTCTAGACTGGAATATATACACTTTTTAATTTTAGGAAAAATACGAGCTGGCTTACCAGAAGAAAGAAAATAAAGAATAAAGTCATAAGAAACAAAGACAGGCACAGAACCAACAATTATAAATTACAAATAAAGCAAATCAAATGGTTTGCCCACGTAGAGAGAATGCCTTGTGACGCCATACCATACAATGCATGCATCAAAAATGGAGAGGAGAGACAATGAGCAAAGGGAAGACCGAGAACAAGATGGAAAGACGTAAGAGAAACAACAATAGCATGATGTGTCTACGGTCGAAGTGGCCACACAGCACAAACTACAAACTAGAACCTCAGCTCCCGCTAGACACAGAAAGCATGGGCACCATAAGAAAGTAAGAAAGTATTAGCTGAAGGAAGAAATAGAGAGGGAAAAAATCTAGAAGTGAAAAAGGTTGAGTCAGGAATTATAAACATACCTCTTTCTTAATAGTAATCCATAAAGTATTTTCTCTGCACCCCACAAGGTACAAGAAGCAGAGAAGGCCTGATTTTTTTAAAAAAATGGAGAGACATGGACGACTAATATGGAGAGGATCTGGAGCTGCACAAACAGAAAAATATGAGATGGCTGGGACTGAACTGGTTGAGAACCTATGCTCCTTTCAAGGGGATTTTTAAAAAAAGCAGGAGGAAACGGTTCATTGACAAGTAAGAATTCGGTGAGATTACATTTTATTAGGTCAAGCTTAATCATCTTTCTCACATACTTCAAGCAACAAAGGCATCAAACCATCTCTCTCTTTCTTTCTCTCTCTCTCTCTCTTTCTCTTTAAGGACCACAATTTTTCAATAAAAAAGTGATTTTTTTTTTTTTTACAAATACAATGAAAAGATGAAAAGTGACAATATTAGGATGAAAACTGACTGAATATTATTGTATTATTCTCACATATGCTGAATTTTAAGGTATTAAAGTGTGTTCATTGTGTGTGTGTGTGCATTGTGTGTGTGTGTGTATTGTATATGTGTGTGCATTGTGTGTGCGTGTGTGCATTGTGTGTGCGTGCATATTGTATGTGCATTGTGTATGTGTGTTTGTAGTGTGTGTGCAGTGTGAGTGTGTGTATAAGCGTTACATATGTATGTGTAAATGTACGTGTCTATGTTTGTAGTTGTATGTATGTGTAGTTATGCAGAACATATGCGTATGTAGGTGCGTATATGCAAGTGTCTTGTGTATTGTATTTATAGGTTAACCATATGCCATTAATTACATACATATTTCAAGTTATTTAATGAAAGCCCATTAAACATGTTATGTGACAAGTCTGATCACTTGCTACAGTAGTTCAGGGAAGTTTCACATGTAGCCCAAAACAGTCCAGCCTGGGCTGTTTGTATGCAAGCAGCATCTATATCAGAGTCTCAAACTGTCACTTTTTCAGTCTCATGCAAGCTGTGGTAGGCAATAAACTTCTCCACAAGAGCCCCAGCCATCACATTATGTGTTCACCCCTATTTTACTTTTGGCCAGAGTACACTAAAGAAATCTGGCTTCCCTACTGGTTACTTCTGCTGCATGATCTGCCAGTTTGAAAGTTGTGCTTTCGTGACTTTTCAGTCGCATAATGTGTTCGCCACCATTTTACAATTGGTCAGAGTACACTAAAGAAATCTGGCTTCCCTACTGGCTACTTCTGCTGCATTATCTGCCAGTTATGCTTTCATGACTTCATAGCGGTCATTGATTCCCATGGGCACTTAATGTGAGAACCCTTTGGGATTGAAGGATTTTTTAAACGGTTCAACGGATGCTAGCTATCCCCACTACTATCTGGTTACGGGCATGTCACCATCTTTCTGGATGAATATTCAGTCAGAAGGAATGTCATCTCAAGCAATTTAATCTTCCTTTAGTATTAATCCTCATTCTTCAAATCTTGGTTTGTTATCTAGAAGTGTACAGTTTTCCTTCTTGAATATATTCAAGCTCATTCTTTGCCATTTATGCTTATTTATGTGTGATATTTTCATATCCATTTTGAACAAATCAAATGTTATGTTTTAAAACTGTTATTTTGTCCTGATTATTGTAATGTTTGATGTAGCACTTTTGTCCTAACGAAATGTAATACTTTCACTGCCACACTGTCCAGATGAAAAGTAGTGTTTTCATTGCCACTTTGTTCTGATAAAACGTAATCTTTTCCCTGCCAATTTGTCTAAATCAGAAGTAATGTTTCTGTGTTTTTTTTACTTATGTCCTGATCAAATGTAATGTTTTCCACCACTATTTCTCATGACATCTCAAAGCACCACTTGTAATCTGGCTTTACTTGTGGACCCAAACTTGAAAAATCTGCCTTGCTGGAGATTCGAAACATAAAACCACCTTGTGTAAGGCCAACTCTGGCATGAACTTGTGCAAGGCTTACTTCCTCCGGTAAAGAGGTTTAAGTGATGGTGGTGGGGTTTCCCTTTGACAATTTTGCCAGGGAAGTGGCCGTACAGCCTACTCATCTCCATCCAGCCTCATCCGGAATTTCTAATGCACATGGGACCTGTTAATTACCTTTATCTGAAAAGGCTAAGTACCCTTATTTTCCCTCCAGGACAGTTCTCTGTGACTCAAAGAGCCACTATTCAGCTGAGAATCCCACAGAAGCTAGTCTCAGAAACCCAGTTCAACCACAGGCTATATCTGGGCCTCTGACAGCTATAACCTGCAGGCCAGTATTTTCATTCTCATTATCCATGTTAGAAATAAACCTTGTCACGTCAGAAGCCTACTGTGCCAGTAACCAAACCAACCTCTGAGACTGCAGCAGGCACTCTACTACCTCGACCATCTCTCTACCACTATGATACAAGAATTCTGAGAATTTACTTAGACATACATGAATTCTCACTCGCAAATTTAAAAGATCAATTACGCATTATGCGAAAACAACTTGATGTCTGCCAGTGAGTCAGAGGATGAAAGCCATTTCCTGTCGTTTTTGTCTTCCCAGAAGGCAAAGCATGACTTGTCCAGCAATGTGAGGCAGCTAATTGGTCCTGTCGCTAGGTAACGGGTTGATGTAGTAACAGACGGAAGTTGGGGATTTCTTGTCGTCAGATACCAGCATGGATACCGTAGTTTTCCAGTAGGCAAAGTCTATCTTTGAGCTCTGCCAGAAACAAAATATTTCCAATGTTAGGATAAAATTAAGAGTACTCATATTTTGGCTGACTAATATAAGTTACTGGGGAAAGGGGGGGGGGGGGTGTACTCTAAATGTCTCTCTCTCTCTTTTTTTTTGTATGTCATTTCAAGATGAGCGATATTCTCCACTGGTATTCTAAATGTCTAATTGAGTTGTATTCTACATTATTTTTGGGTCATTGCAAGCTGAAAGATATTCTATGTAATTTTTTGAGTGGTAGGTTGGGTATAGGATAAGAAGGAATTTTCAGTCCTTGAATTTAAATATAAAATTCTAAATGTGATTTAGTTTTGTCCCCACATTTTGAATTTAGCATTCTAAGTGTGATTTAATTTAACCCCTTCGATCCGTATATAGTATTCTGAATGTGATTTAGTCCCTTCAATTTGAAAATATTAGTCTAAATGTGATTTAGTCACTTCAGTCTGATTAAAATATTCTAAATGTGATTTAGTTTAGTCCAGACATTTTAAAAATGATATTCTAAATGTGATTTAATTTAGCCCCTTTGATCTGAATATGGTTGAATGTGATTTAATTTAGTCCCTTCAAACTGTGAGGAAACTACATGATTTTTTTGTTAGCTACTTCAAACAATAATCTAAGTGTGATTTGTTTGGGTGTGTGTGTGTGTGTGTATATATATATATATATATATATATATATATATATATATATATATATATATATATATATATATATATATATATATATATATATATATATATATATATATATAGTAATTTCAAGTTGAGTGTGGTGTTTTAAATTAATATTTTTCTTTTATATTTTCACTAAAATGGACAATAAATATATTTCCTAAATACTTACCAATGAAAGAAAATAATTGAAATATTTCTAAATAATTAGCAACAAAATAAAGTGGCAATCTGTGGGTTCAAGAGTTTAACAAAAAAACAAAACAAAAAACAAGATGAGATGACTACCAACCTTCTCCAAGGCACTGCAGTCTTTGTCTTTGTGCAGATAATGGTCTTGCCAGAATATCAAAAGGTCCCTGTAAGCCAAAGGACACAAACATTAGCACATCAACACAAACAATTTTATATCACACATGGAGTCCAACAGTGGTCACAACCTATTAAATAGCATAACACATCTATCTTAATTTTCTGTAACATAACAAAACAGGGATCTCAACTGTCTAAGACAGCATAAGGATTTCATTCAATTTACAAAAACTGCAATTTTATACAGAAGCAGGTCACTGTATGGGTAAGGGTGCTGGCCTCTCATGTGGGAGACCCAGGATCGAATCCAAGGTAAAGTTGGGGATGATATTCGGTCAGGTCAAACCTAAAACCCTAACCTGCTCAAAGTCCCCCCCCCCCCCCCAACTGTCTACCTACACAGCACAAGTGGTCAATACAGCCAGTAGTGGTAGTTTGTGGCAGGAGTGAACACAGCCAACCCAATGGAGTGAAGTCAGCCCACCTGATGGGTGAACACAGCCCACTTGAAGGTTGAACACAGCCCATCTGATGGGTGAACACAGCCCACCCGATAGGCAACCAAAGCCCACCCTATGGGTGAACACAGCCCACCCTATGGGTGAACACAGTCCACTTGAAGGTTGAACGCAGCTCACCCTATGGGTGAACACAGCCCATCCAATGGGTGAACACAGCCCATCCGATGGTTGAACACAGCCCACCCTATGGGTGAACACAGCCCACCTGATAGGCAACCAAAGCCTACCTGCAGGATAAACAAATGCAACTCACCTGAAGTTCTGTAAAATGCTAGAGGAGCCGTTGACGTTGTCCAGAGACTCATCCTGCTTCTCCCCTAAAGCCTGCAGGTAGAGAGGCAGCTGGTTGCGTTTGTTGGCAAACATCAGGAACACCAGGGTGGTGTTGAGGCAGCTGACGTTCTCCTGGGTCAGGTTCTGCACGCTGATGATGTTGATCAGCTTGAAGAGGTAGTCTAGCTGCCGGGTGAAATTCCCGATGTAGTTGACCAGCTTGCTTTCTCGTCTCTCGCCGCTGCCCTTGTCCCCTTCCGCTGGGGCAACAAAGTTCAAAGCTGCAAAACAAAGGATGCCTCAGTGTGAGATGAACTACCTGGCAATTTTTCTTTCCCAGCTGCTACCTGAAACTTTCGGTGCTTTATTAATATCCTGCCCCCAGATGACGTCACAGGACAGTCCAACATTTTAGAGGGTAGTAAGACTGGGTTTCCCAGCTTTCTGATGCTTTTAACGACCCCAAAACATCTAGAACTGGCCCTAAACCCAACCCACCTACGTCCCACGAGAGACTGCAGCCTAGGTCCCATGACTGCATGCAGCCTATCTACCACCCCCTGAAATATTAGGCTGTCCTGTGACCTGTGGATTTTCCCCATTTGGGGTAGGATATTAATAAAGCACTAAAATTTCTTCTTCTTCTTCGTGTTAACTGGCTGTAAACTCTGGTGGAAAGTTCTGGTTGTTCACTTCTAGACTTGTCTTGTTCCAGAACTGAGTTTTGTGTCCTCATCCGTTTTAAAAATCTGGCTTATCTGCAAGCACACTGCTGGTTCCTTGCCTCTTAGGCTATGCATTGCAAGGGGAAAGTCTGACACCATGAGATGAAATGATCTCAATGGGAATGAAGATGAACACAACATGACTCTGTAACCCGGTCTAGGCTGATGGACATGGGAGCACAACTCGAGCTGCAAAAAATGAACATTTCACTAAGAGAACCAGATGATTGATTATTCAGCACAAAACTGGTGTCATCAGTCTATTTACACTTATGCAGCTTCTGAAGAGGAGATCAGCGAACCGATAGATCAGTCAGGAGTGCTGTGATAAGCCTTACTAACCACTAATATGGACGGCAGACGAAAACGCAAAATCTTAGATACCACATTCAACTATCGAAGAAGTTAATTCTTCTGCTTCTTCTTTCGTTAACATGAAATAGATTATCTATTTCTGCAATGTTGTCTTAAGTATGTGTTGTCTCTAGTATGTGTTGTCTTAAGTATGTGTTGTCTCTAGTATGTGTTGTCTTAAGTATGTGTTGTCTCTAGTATGTGTTGTCTTAAGTATGTGTTGTCTCTAGTATGTGTTGTCTTAAGTATGTGTTGTCTCTAGTATGTGTTGTCTTAAGTATGTGTTGTCTCTAGTATGAACTTCAATGTCTGCTGTAATTCAATCAGCAACCCCTAAAGTTTGGCCTGCACCGGTGTTTCTCTCGGCCAACAGTTTTTTAATTTTTAAATAAAAAGGGAAGTTAATAATTACGTCACCTGTAAGGGGCATACCAGACTAGACCTGCAGTCTGCTGTTGGTAAAGATGACAAGCAGATGTAGTTTTGCTAAAGTGGTGTGATATGGACAGAAGACTGCAGACTCAGAGAGACAGAAGATTGCAGACTCAGAGAGACAGAAGATTGCAGACTCAGAGAGACAGAAGATTGCAGACTCAGAGAGACAGAAGATTGCAGACTCAGAGAGACAGAAGATTGCAGACTCAGAGAGACAGAAGATTGCAGACTCAGAGAGACAGAAGATTGCAGACTCAGAGAGACAGAAGATTGCAGACTCAGAGAGACAGGAGCCAGAGTAAAGTAAAAGACCCTTTCCACGCCTTCAGGCTTGTTGGGCATATAGGGCTAGATCTACATTTTTTAGACCAATCAGCACTTGGTCGGTGATGTCAGCATCCCACCAGCCCCCAGGACTCCATCTGATACCAGTTCAAGGCTGGGTCGCCCTGGGAGCCAAGGTCTTTTTTTTTTTCAATTCAGTACCATCAGGACCCAAACCCATGACCTTCTGATCCGCAGGCCAGAGAACAGAAGGCAAATGCTGTCATCTATACCAAATAGTTCAAATGCTGTCACCTATACCAAATAGTTCAAATACTGTCACCTATACCAAATATTTCCACTGCTGTCACCTATACCAAATAGTTCACATGCTGTCATCTATACCAAATAGTTCAAATGCTGTCACCTATACCAAATATTTCCACTGCTGTCACCTATACCAAATTGTTCAAATGCTGTCACCTATACCAAATAGTTCAAATGCTGTCACCTATACCAAATAGTTCAAATACTGTCACCTATACCGAATAGTTCAAATGCTGTCACCTATACCGAATATTTCCACTGCTGTCACCTATACCAAATAGTTCAAATGCTGTCACCTTTACCAAATAGTTCAAATGCTGTCACCTATACCAAATAGTTCAAATGCTGTCACCTATACCAAATAGTTCAAATGCTGTCACCTATACCGAATAGTTCAAATGCTGTCACCTATACCAAATATTTCCACTGCTGTCACCTATACCAAATAGTTCAAATGCTGTCATCTATACCAAATAGTTCAAATGCTGTCACCTATACCAAATAGTTCAAATGCTGTCACCTATACCAAATATTTCCACTGCTGTCACCTATACCAAATAGTTCAAATGCTGTCACCTATACCAAATAGTTCAAATGCTGTCACCTATACCAAATAGTTCAAATGCTGTCACCTGCACCAAATATTTCCACTGCTGTCACCTGTACCAAATAGTTCAAATGCTGTCACCTATACCAAATAGTTCAAATGCTGTCACCTATACCAAATAGTTCAAATGCTGTCACCTATACCAAATAGTTCAAATGCTGTCACCTATACCAAATAGTTCAAATGCTGTCACCTATACCAAATAGTTCAAATGCTGTCACCTATACCAAATAGTTCAAATGCTGTCACCTATACCAAATATTTCCACTGCTGTCACCTATACCAAATAGTTCAAATGCTGTCACCTATACCAAATAGTTCAAATGCTGTCACCTGTACCAAATATTTCCACTGCTGTCACCTGTACCAAATATTTCCACTGCTGTCACCTGTACCAAATAGTTCAAATGCTGTCACCTATACCAAATAGTTCAAATGCTGTCACCTATATAAAATAGTTCAAATGCTGTCACCTATACCAAATAGTTCAAATGCTGTCACCTATACCAAATAGTTCAAATGCTGTCACCTATACCAAATAGTTCAAATGCTGTCACCTATACCAAATAGTTCAAATGCTGTCACCTATACCAAATAGTTCCACAGCTTAGACACCCAATGTCTACCTTCCTGAAAACAGAAAATGATTAATAGCATTTTCATCCTTACTTAACACTATCGATGCCATACATGAACAATGAAAATGGCACTAGAAGAGAAAATAACTACCTATGAAATGTGCTGTCTCCGTAACATCACTAACAACACAAGAGGGAACAGGGTTAGGAATACCAGCATTAGAGAGAAAGGTGGAATCAGACTGTCTGAATTGTACTAACAGACAAAAGAATTGAGTGTTCGGCCATCTAGTAAGAATTCAGCCAGTCCATACTGCATATAAGACTTTTTACAAAAGAACAGTGAGGAAGAGAAAGGGAAGACTAAGAAAGACATGGATAAATGATGTAGCCGAGAACCTGTAAAAACAGAAAACAAATCCAAGCCACCTGAGAAGCGCAAGACAAATACGGAAAACCACGACACTGCGCTACAACCTGGCATCAGTAAGAGGAGAAAAGGAGGAAGCGGAATGACATGATTTCACAAATGCTTACTTTTTTCCGTACCCTCGGCCCTGAAGTGCTCCAGCGAGAGAACCAGACTACGTATGAACATGTTGGAGTCCACAAGGTTTCGGTTAACCATGGTGACAAACTTCTCAAACTTCTGCTCCGTGGCAAGGATGGCGTCAAAGGCTTTGAATGCCTCAATGTTGAATTTGATGAGCTCCCCCAGCAAGTCAAAGCTGCTCTGCAAGATCTCCTTGTGGCGGATCTCATTCTCCACAATGTTGCCTGCAACATGCTGGAAAACAATATGACAGGGAGTTTACAGTTTGATATAAGACAATATAAAATATATTTTTTTAAGAGGTGGGAGAGAAAGTAAGGGATCATTTTCGATATGTTCACAAACATATTATTCTCAATACGCCCAATTCTGAAAAATTTATGAAAATGAAATACTCTATTAACGAAGGAGAAAATGACCCTTTACAATAAGACTGGTTTAATGTTAGCATAATACAATACAGATGAGATCTAATGTTAGCAAAATGCAATACAGATGAGATCTAATGTTAGAAAATGCAATACAGATGAGATCTAATGTTAGCAAAATGCAATACAGATGAGATCTAATGTTAGCAAAATGCAATACAGATGAGATCTAATGTTAGAAAATGCAATACAGATGAGATCTAATGTTAGCAAAATGCAATACAGATGAGATCTAATGTTAGCAAAATGCAATACAGATGAGATCTAATGTTAGCAAAATGCAATATGGGATGAGATCTAATGGTAGCAAAATGCAATATGAGATCAGATTTAATGTTAGCAAAATGAAATATAGATTAGATCTAAGGTTGGCAAAGTGCAATATGGGATGAGATCTAATGTCAACAAAATGCCATATGAGATCAGATTTAATGTTTGCAAAATGCAATATTGACAGATCTAAGATCTAACATTAACAAAATGCAAAATAATATGAGATTTAATGTTTGCAAAATGCAACGTAAGTTGTGATTCAATGTTAGCAAAATGCAACATAACATGTGATTCAATGTTAGCAAAATTAGATAAGATTTAATGTTAAAATGCAGTAGGAGACCTAATGCTAGCAAAATGCGATGAGATTCAATGTTAGCACCCCCCAAAAAAAAACTATGAAACAGGATTTAGTAAAACACACTATGAGATAAGCAAAATGCAACACAAGATGAGAGTTAACATTTGCAAAGTTGCAAAGAGACTAAATTGAGATCTAATATTTGTTCAATGCAATACAAAATGAGATTCAATGTTAGCAAAATAGCTGTTATGTAATCTGATAAACAAGCTAAGGAAGGTGCTAATGAAGAACAACCTGACGTACCAGTCTTTTATCAGCAAAAGAAGAGAGTAATCAAATCAATCCGAAAGCCTCCAGAACCAGCACAAGAAGATAACCATTTTATGGACAGACCAGAGCAAGTAATTATTCTAAGCCTTAGAACAGGACACAATCGACTTCGCAGCCACATGTACACAAAATTTAAAATCGGCGAATCAGCCATGTGCATAAGTGGACTGGCACCTGAGACAACAGATCCCGTCCTCCAAGACTGTCCCAAATACAACATATCAAGACAAAACTTTTGGCCAAGAAAAACCTCGGTGCAAGTCAAACTTTACGGATCGCTGAGTGAATTACAAAAGACACTGAAGTTCACACTAGAGACAACATTGCAGATATAGATAATGTATTTCAAGCGAACGAAAGAAGAAGAATGTTAGCCACAAAAAATATGATATGAGATATAATGTTAGCAGAATGGAATATTAAATGATGTTCAATACTGAAGGGTTGATAGCTAAATACAGCAATGTTTTTTAAAAACTTGGTTTATTTTTCAAGAAACTGATTTTAAAAGGTTTTTTCCCAAGGTAATATATGTCCAATGTTGATCCGAGCAAAGTCAGTATGATTTAGTACATGATTCAGCACTACACTGATATACCATTTAGACTATTTGGCAGAGAGGAGGATGGTAATAGGACTATGTACTGTGGTGAATTACATATGGGGAGAAAAAGTCAAGGTCGACCGCTAATATGTTATAAATATGCGCACAAGCAGACATTAAACGTTACAGGTACTGAAGTGGATTAGTAGAAAATGGAAACCAATGGCTGTATTGCATGAGGGGGAACATCAGGAAGAGAACAGGGATAGAGATGAAAATGACTGCAGAAAACAGGGATAAAGATGAAAATGACTGCAGAGAACAGGGATAAAGATGAAAATGACTGCTGAGAACAGGGAAAAAGATGAAAATGACTGCAGAGAACAGGGGGAAAGGTGAAAATGACTGCAGAGAACAAGGGTTGAGGTGAAAATGACTGCAGAGAACAGGGGAAAAGATGAAAATGACTGCAGAGAATAGGGAAAAAGGTGAAAATGACTGCAAAGAACAGGGGAAAAGGTGAAAATGACTGCAGAGAACAGGGAAAAGGTGAAAATGACTGCAGAGAACAGGGGAAAAGGTGAAAATGACTGCAGAAAACAGGGGAAAAGGTGAAAATGACTGCAGAAAACAGGAGAAAAGGTGAAAATGACTGCAGAGAACAGGGGAAAAAGTAAAAATGACTGCAGAGAACAGGAGAAAAGGTAAAAATGACTGCAGAGAACAAGCATAAAGGCAAAAATGACTGCAGATAGGAGAAAAAAGGTAAAAATGACTGCAGAGAACAGGGGAAAAAGTAAAAATGACTGCAGAGAACAGGCATAAAGTTGAAAATGACTGCAGAGAACAGGCATAAAGTTGAAAATGACTGCAGAGAACAGGCATAAAGGTGAAAATGACTGCAGCTGAGTAACGAGCTGAGCATCGGAGAAGCATGTTAGACAATGGCAACAACGGTCCTGTAATCCCAGGCTGTAGCTGTAGAAGACTTTTCTCAACATGAGCAGGTCTTGCTGTCACACTGGCCCTCACCATGGGCTGATTCCCATACCTCTCTACAGTAGAATCTAACACTACCGTCTGGAAAGATAAAAGGTGCCAACAAATGTCAGAGGGGAGTGAGCAGAAGGGGTGACCATTACGAACATTAGCAAAACAGATTTGCTAGTTCCAACTCACACAAAAAAGCTAAAGCGTTAATTTGCTTTATATAAGATAAATGCATCGGAAACCAAATAGGTCTATCATTTTTGTATTTATATGCTTCTCTTTAAGGGACTCTTTGCCCGGCTCTCTAGCGAAGTTGGTTAAACCTGACTTTCGTGGCGGCCGGGTGACAAACTCCTTGTGGTCCGGGTTCACTCCCGGGGGTAGGCAGAAAAGCCACATTTCTCCCAGATTAACGGTACCTATAATGGAATCAATGCCGAAGGGTTGCGATATCCATAGTACCGAGCCAAAGGTTTTACAACTCATGGTTTCTGGATACGTTAAAAAAAAGGGACTCTTTAGATATTGTCTCCAGGCTATGCCAGTGTGTTGGAAAATGAACAGGCAGACAGATGGCCGGTTCAGCACTTGGTGGTGAATGGATGTATGACAGGCTAGATGTTGTCAGGGCCCTCAGGGAGTGAGTGAACAGTGCTGAGGCACAAATCATTACAGTCTGCAATGAGTTTCCAGGGGATATGGCCAATGCTCAACACTGAAAGGAAAGGTGGGATGAATGTAAAATCAGACAGTTACTGCTACCACCAGAACTGGAACTCCACTTGCTGCTGAAGATGGGGACGGAGCACTTATAGAAGTGTCCCTAGTGCTATGATGACTCTTGACTTTCTTTAATGGATATCTGAATCTGGTGGAAAGTGTCATGCACAGGTAAAAAACGGGCATTAGAAGGATTTTTTTCCCCACAAGAACGGGCAATAAAAAGTTGCTTACTGAGATGGTTGTATTTAGTTCTCTTGTAAGTGTTAAAAAATGAAATAAGATATAGGGTTAGCAGGAAGCAATATAAGCAATGTTAAATTAACAACAAATGGTATTTTGAGATGGGGTTAGAATCATAACAAATGTCAATAAGAGACAGGGTTAAAATGTTAACAAATAGTAATGCATGACATGGTTTAAATGTTAGCAAATGGTAAAATGAGACAGGGTTGAAATGTAAGCAATTGGTAATAAAAGACAGGGTTAAAATGTTAGCAAATGGTAATTACAAGATGGGGGTTAGCTGTTGGCAAAAGGCAAAATGAGATGGATTAAAATATTAGTAACATGTAATATGAAATGGGCTAAAAGGATAGCAAACTGCCATCTGAAATGGGGTTCAGTGTTGGCAAATGGCAAAATGAAATGAAGTTTACTGTCTGCAAAGGATGGCCCCAGATTACAGAGTTAAGTGTCTGTAATAAATACAAGATAATGCTGCAGTCAGTTCTGGAACAGACAGAATAAGACCAGGCTTGTCTTTAAAAGATGGGAAAAAAATTAAGTTTATGACTAACAAAAGAGAATATATGATTAGGTTTAATGTCTGCAAAATAATTTAACTTTACTGTCTCAAAACTTTAAAAAAAGAGTAACATTAGAATTATACCTTTAGGAAAAACAATGCTGGGTTATTATAGTGTCTGAAAAACAACATAACTGTAATGTCTAAACGGGGAGTGAGAGAGGGGGAGGGGGGAGGGGGGGATGGCAATTAAGATAAGAATTGCACTATGAAAAAGTTAACATAAAAATGGCATCATCTGGACAAGGTAATATATAAACTCAACTGTCTGGAAAAGATTTATATAAGAACTGTACAGTCTAAAAAGATTAGCGTAAGAGATGTAATTTCTGAAAAAGAATTACATAATAATTCAGAAAAAGATAAAGATAAGATGAAGTTTAAGACAAACATAAGATGGATATGAGATCAAGTTTAATGTTTGCAAAAGATTAGTATGAGATTATATTTACGATTAACAAAAAAACAAATTATATAAAGATATACAGTACCTCTTCGACTTACAACCAATTTTCATTCCAACTAACACGTAATTTGAACTGATCATAAGTCGAATTTGTATTTTTCAAACTATTTTCATTCAAAAAGGCAACAAAAAAGTGCACACACACACAATACAAAAAAGCACCTTATGAACATATAATTGGACTCTGCTGCGCTCAAGGCATCATTTCCGGGAACTTGTTGACCTGACCAAATAATTATTATTACTATTTGTATTTTGAGGCGCGAGAACTGGCAAGAGACCGAGTTTCTTTCAGACAGACTGTGATGAGCGACGTTCCGCTATATGATGTTTTGTTTTTACTTATTTTGTGTTATCATAAGGGTGGATGATCGTAAGCCACATCAGTCGTAAGATGAGAAGAAGGTGTATTATGTTATATGTGTAGCTCTGTTGAAGGATTCATGTTTTGTACTTTATAAGGTGAGGTGAACTCTGTAGCAATGCATCTAATGAGATACAGTGGAATAAGCCAAGCAATAACACTGGGCAATAAGATGACTCCTATTTCATTCAGCCCTAACAGAGGAAATAAATATGTTTAACACATTCCAAGGACAAGAGCACTCCTAATTATAAACTTAACAAATGTATGAAAACATGTCTCATTTTTCAGTCACAGTTTGGCTGTATTTAGTACTCTGTTGACAAAGACTGATTCAAATGTCATTGGGTTTTATTTGTGCAGGTCAATTCTAATCCCTTTCTTGTTAAATTTCAAGTTGTATTAAGCACTTTTATATGAGGACTGAATCTGTGGCCCAATGTACTGCGAGGTTAACATGGTATCCACTATGTATACTACCTCTATTGTATGTTGCCCTCACAAGGGTGGTCTGCAGGCTGTGTTGTGTCGACAGACTGCCATATCTGCAGGCTGTGTTGTGGTTGACAGACTGCCATATCTGCAGGCTGTGTTGTGGTTGACAGACTGCCATATCTGCAGGCTGTGTTGTGTCGACAGACTGCCATACCTGCAGGCTGTGTTGTGTCGACAGACTGCCATATCTGCAGGCTGTGTTGTGTCGACAGACTGACATATCTGCAGGCTGTGTTGTGTCGACAGACTGCCATATCTGCAGGCTGTGTTGTGGTTGACAGACTGCCATATCTGCAGGTTGTGTTGTGGTTGACAGACTGCCATATCTGCAAGTTGTGTTGTGGTTGACAGACTGCCATATCTGCAGGCTGTGTTGTGGTCGACAGACTGCCATATCTGCAGGCTGTGTTGTGGTTGACAGACTGCCATATCTGCAGGCTGTGTTGTGGTTGACAGACTGCCATATCTGCAGGCTGTTTTGTGGTCGACAGACTGCCATATCTGCAGGCTGTGTTGTGGTTGACAGACTGCCATATCTGCAGGCTGTGTTGTGGTCGACAGACTGCCATATCTGCAGGTTGTGTTGTGGTCGACAGACTGCCATATCTGCAGGCTGTGTTGTGGTCGACAGACTGCCATATCTGCAGGTTGTGTTGTGGTTGACAGACTGCCATATCTGCAGGTTGTGTTGTGGTTGACAGACTGCCATATCGGCAGGTTGTGTTGTGGTTGACAGACTGCCATATCTGCAGGCTGTGTTGTGGTTGACAGACTGCCATATCTGCAGGTTGTGTTGTGGTTGACAGACAGCCATATCGGCAGGTTGTGTTGTGGTCGACAGACTGCCATATCTGCAGGCTGTGTTGTGGTTGACAGACTGCCATATCTGCAGGCTGTGTTGTGGTTGACAGACTGCCATATCTGCAGGCTGTGTTGTGGTTGACAGACTGCCATATCTTCCTTCTGCCCTAAAACATTTAACTAAACGTTTAATTATTGAAGTAAAGCGAAGGAACCTTGTCCACGCCTTCAGATGTATTGGGATTATAGAGCTAGACCTATATCTTGGTGGGTGGTGTGGTCTGTATCACGCCGGCTGCCTTTACCTCCCATAACTACACGTGGTATACATTTAAGGCTAGATCGACATTAGGGTCAAAGTCATTTATGACAAAAATCCGGCTCTGTCAGGACCCGAACCCATGACCTTCCAATCCGCAGGCAAGCGTCTAGCCACCACACCATGTCAGCTCTCAGTCCCCTACTTGGTTGCTTTTTGTTACATGTTTATTAAGAGACAGTGGGTCTACCCACCCCCTTCCTTAACCAATTTGGGCCTGCAGAACCCACACAGAAAAGCGTGTGCACAAATTCACAAAGAACATGTTATTAAAAGGTACATTAGCAGCACTACAATAGACAGAGAGAGACTCACCGTAAGCAGTCCTCGCCTCATCAAGAAAATCTGGTCACAATAGGAAGTGTCCCCACGCAGGTAGCTCTCCACCGCCCTGGCCAGCCAAAACCTGGGGGATAAAATATACCAATCTGGCAGCTGTGACACTTACTTACACACCGTAAACGACCTGACAGTGATGTGTTGTTTTTTTTTTTGCCATTTTTTTTTTTCAAGTCATGTTTATAGATAGATTTACAGGTTGGAGAAATAAAGTGGTTGGAAAATTTAATTTAAAAAAAAAACATTTCAACAGAATCAAAGAAAATCCAGTCAAAGACTTGAAACTAAATTTTTTAAACAACTGTAGACAAATCACCCAGCTGAAAGGATTAATTCTTTTGTACTGGCCCTCAAAGGGCATCTGGCATGTTGGGATTTCAACCTATTCCAATGGTATGACAAACCTGCATCTTACCACTATGGTCATTATTCTTCTTCTTTACATTCACCAGTGTAAACTCCACTGAGAAGTTCTGGCTGCTCTTCCACCTCCTGACTTTAGTCGTGTTCCAGAACCTGAGCTTTGCATGCACATTCGTTACACATATCTGGTTTATTTGCATGCAGACTGTTTGTTCTTTGCCTCTCAGATAAGGCACCCTGACTTGGAAGAAAGAAACCAATTAGTTGACTCACATGACATGCTTTTTTGGGGGGCAACAGTGGGTTTACTATCCCCCCCACCCCGAAACCAACATAGGGACTTTGTTCATTTATCCTCCAAAATATTTTCTCTGGGATATACAGGTGTGTTGGGAAATGAACAGGCAGACAGAATGGCTGGTTCTGCACCAAAGGGTGGTGAATTTATGCCTGACAAGCTAGATGTGGTCAAGGCACTTTGCGAGCAAGTGAACAATGTGAAGGCATGAATGCATCATTATGGTCCGGAGAAAACTGCAGTTACGAGTGACCTGTGGATCTTGACACTCTACATTCAGAAAAAAAGTTGGACCTACATATACCCAAAGTTCTAATGGCACCATCAGAAGTCAAACTCTTCGCTAGCTGTTGAAGATGAGGACTGTGCGTTATGGGAATATCCCGAGTGACGTGATGTCAGTTCTCAGCTTAACACTCAACTCTCTAAAATTGCAATATTAGTACACAGAAAACACAACTAACAGTCACAATTCAGAGAAATGACAAGGACAGGAAGCAGTTATGACAAAACAATCAAATGAAAAATAAACCGAAACAAACCATAACCTGAAGGTCGAGGTAGTAGGTTCCTTCTTCATCACATCCACAATCTTGGTCAGCAAACCACGGGAACCTTTACACATGAGCTGCCTGGGGACAAACCAAACCAGAAACCGGTTAATGATATCTATGTTTGTTTCTTCTTAGCATTCACCAGCAGTAAACACGGCAGGAAGTTCTGGTTGTTGGTTGTTCGTCCACCTCTGGAGTTTGGTTCTGTTTGAGAACGAGGTTTGGGTTTAGACGACGGATCAACATCAAGGCACAAGGGTAGTAACCCATAAGTGCTCCGTTCTACTTCTAACTCAATCCTGAGTCTGAAGAATCTCAGCGCAGTGCACGAACTCTGTAGCACCGGTGAGGATCCTGAAATACGTTGAGTAGATTTTCAACTATAACTAAATTTAAACTTTAATTTTTTTTTTTGCCCGGACAGTGCCATTAGGCTTCTCTTTTCGATTTCCAACTGCTAAGGGATTTGTTACATATGTAACAATACACACGGGCATCCGATCTAACTACCCAGAGACCAGGGGAAATTACTAAAGTCCATGTGAAAATATACCAGCCTTCACCGGGGCTTGAACCTAGGACCTCCAGCACTCAAGGCGGACACCATGCCTCGAGACCACAGATCTGGCTTATCTGTATAATGACTGTTGGTTCCTTCCCTCTCAGGCAGATACTCTTACTTTGAAGGAAAAATTGGCTGACTGAGTGTTGCGTGTATATCCGTTTCAGTTATACAACAATACACAGATAAAACTCCATTACTTTTAGTTACACAACACACAGATGAATCTCAACTCACTTGTTTATGCCATCCAAACTCTGAAGCGTCAAGCCTCCAGCTCGCACTGAAAGATACAAGAACAGATCATGATGTCAAATGCTGCTTGTATCTCTGTAACTAGTTTTACTAAATTCCCCAAGCTGTACCATGGTCAGGTGAGCGAATCCCAACTCAGGTAAATGTGGGTTGCAAACTGTTGACTGGTATTCATCTTCTGATGAAACACCAGCACTCGTGACTTGAGGATGGAGTCCAAAACCAAACCTACAAACTCCCTATCTGGGTTCCAGGGCCCCCATTGGAGGGGCACAAATTATGGGCTCGCTGTAAACCACAATACAATGTGCCAACTGAGCAACAATGAACCTACAGATTAAAGGGTTGACAAAAGGTGGTTTAGGACATATACTCAATACGAGATGCAAGGCAGAAGAAGTGAGGAATAGATCACTACCCTCCAACAAGCATGTCCTAAAAGGTGTCTAATTAGGGGTGGCTGTGGGGCTGGGGGGGGGGGGGGGGAGTAACTTTGAAGTCAAGAATGCATTTGCCTGAGAGACAATGAACCAAGAATCTGCATAAAAATAAGCTAGATCTGTAAAATGAAGGCAACGGAAAAACTCAGGAACAAGACCAGTGTCCAAAAAGTGGATGAACAACCACAACCTTCCATCAGTTTACAGCCAGTGAACCCTAAGATAGTGCTCGGGAAGAGGGGCAAGGACCAAACAGCGATATGTGTGTTTTGTGCACATTGTTCCGTTTCCCAATGCTTTTTAGTCACAGTTCACTGGATTAATTTCTTGGTATTAGCTTGACTGCAGTCACCCATTTTCCCTATACAAGGACGATGATGATGAAAGTAAGAAGAAAGTGGCCGGTGCCAGAATATCCCATTTTCTAGGTCAGATAACGATGTGACTAGGTCATGATTACAGCATGAACAAACTGATTGGGATTAGGTTTCACTGCTAATTAATATTTCTTCCCTGAATTTTAGGTATTTCGTTGTCAACAGACCAACTGAATGCCGGTGGAGAAGGAGAATGATATGACTATTATAGATAAAATAAAAGGAGAAAAATGGAGTACACTGTGACAGTAGGAGAGTTGTAGGGGACGAGAGGCAGATGCTGGACAGTCTGACATCATGACGTGGAGGATCATTTGTGTCAGAGCTGACTGAAAATACACGAGACAGAAGAGTTCAGGGCAGATAGACATGATTACCAACGCCACACGGCATGGACTTTAGGAAAATGATGATAAATGCACAAAATATAAATTTTTCTAAACAGGTTTCCATGCATACAACATGTTAATGATCTTGACATTAATTTTTTTTAATAAGTTTATGGGGAGTGCCAGTTTATAAATTAATGAGATAAAAACCAAATTCACAGCATTTGGGACATTCCATAAGTACTCTCTACATATTTTCAGCAGCAAGCAAAGTTCTGGTGGTCTCAGAGGTTGTTTTATTTAATTTCCGTCTTGCTTTTCCTCCGCCGAGTGTAAAGTGTCGATTTTCTAATCATTAATTCTAAATGTACCTTTCTATCTCTATTCGCATATCAGCATTGTTCATTTGCTCACAAAGGACTCTGACCACATTTAGATTGTCATGCATTCATTCACCACCTAGTGGTGCAGAACCATCCAGTCAATCTGCCTTTTTGTTTTAAAACATACCTGCATGCCCTATATAAGGTTAGTTGTGTATCCTTTACAGGACACTGCAAAACCAACCCCAACCATCCCCTGGCTGTTGTGTGGTTTTTTAAGGCAAATTTACGTCCAGTAGTTTGCCATATGCCCCATGTAACAGATTTAAATAATAAACTATGTAAATTGTATGTTTTAAAATAATAAATTAAGGTAACAAGGAAACATATTCAGCAAGAATACAAGAATAACGTACTCACCATTGATTTTCTTCACTTCATTAAGCTCACTTTTTGATAACAATAAGTGTTTATATCTGAGGGGGAAAAACTTGGATGTCAGTAAACAATTCTTTAAAAATTGTAATTAAACATCTCATCTTACCAAACACACACATCTTCTTCTTCTTCTTCGTTCACCGGCTGTGAATTCTGGCGGAAGGTCCCGGTTAATCGTTTGCTTGGACTTTTGTCTTTTACCTGCACCTGAGTTTTGCATATAAAACCAGTTTACTGGCTTTTGCCGTTCCCTGCCTCACTGGCAGATGTACTACGACTTTAAGGGAACTAAAATATATATCTAAAGTGAGTTGTGATGGTGCAGAGGACAACAGCCCTCCCAGACAGGTTCAAATCTGCTCTGAGCCAGAGATTTGTTTCAAGTGACTTGAGCTTCCAGGTCGGCCCAGATAAATTGGTTATCTTCTTCTTCTTCTTTTGTTCACTTGGAATAAATTATCTATATCTGCAATTTTGTCTCTGGTACGAACTAGAACTGTATGAACTGTGTGTTTCTGATTTACCTTCATTTTGATGTAAGTTCTCCCCGTGTGGGTTCCGAGGCCCTATTATAGGGAAAAAAAGAATATACCCACTGCATACCCAAAAGCATGTCTTAAGAGTCGGCTAATTGGGAGCTTTCTTCGAAGTTGGAGTGCATCTGCCTGAGAGGCAAGGAACCAGCAAGCTGCATACAAATGAGTCAGACCTGTAAAATGGATGCACACGTAACACTCAGGTTCTGAAACAGGACTAAAGTCCAAAAGTGGACAGCCAGAACTTTCCGCCAAAGTTTACAGCTGGTGAACACAAAGAAGAAGATGTAAGTTCATAGTCAAGGTCATCAGACAGCACTGGTTGCATCGTAATGGTTAACGAAACAAGAGTGCTGTAAGCACTAAGTACAAACGTTGATGCGACAATGATGCCTATGATGCCAAAGCCCTCTTTACAGACAGACATACACACATGTCAGGGTGGATAGTTCGGTCCCATATGCCAGTACGTCGATCTAGCTTACCAGAATAATTAAAATTAGGTGCTGAAATTGGAAGCAACCAGCCAAGAGGTGCACCGTAAAAATCAGGATGTTATGCACAAACACTAAAGAAAATATATCTATATCTGCCAATAGATCTAGTCTCCAAACCACACACTGGAACATGGAGTTTAAAGTAAACTGGCAATGAGATGTTCCAGTGTGGTAATAATCTTTCAATGATTTGGGTTCGGGCCTCTGGCCCACGAAGATTTCCATTTTCAGAATTATGGCCCGTGTAAGCTCAGCTTAACATCCCTGTTCAGGAAAGTAAACCTATATACTCAATACATCTCTAAGTGAGGAAAATGGTCACGTGCTCATCTAATTAGGTTATTAATACAAATGACTCAAACTGCTATATTAACCCTCTGAATCCAAAATGTTAGTTTAACTGCTAATGTACAACAGTGTCCCGGTTGAACTCATCTAGACCTAAGTGTTTCCTGCTCTTATGTTCAATTCCTTGTGATAGAAGTGATTGGGATTGAAAGAGTTACATGGAATACATTCCCACAGGTAATTAAAAAAAACCATTAGCCTGAGTTGAGTCAAGAATTGACATCACAGCACTCGGGGCATTTCCATGCATGCTCCGTCCTCCTCTTCAAAGCCAGCGCAGAATTACAATACTGATGGTACCGGTCACAATCTGGTTAAATGTCCGTCTTGCCTTTCCTCTGAGTGTAGTGAGCCGTCCAGGCCCTCTGGTTACACCCAGGTGCCTCATTCTCTCCAGGCTATAATAATCTTCTTTCTCTACTGATTCTGTTGCTTGTTTCCAAAGGGCCTTGACCACATTTGCCTTGTCATGTATCAATTCACCACCCAGTGGTGCGGATCCAGCCAATCTGTCTGCCTGTTCATTATCCAACATGCCGGCATGGCCTGGAGAAAAGATCCAAAGTATGCTCACTACCCATGACCTTTCCAGTGAAGCTTGCCACTCTGCTTGAAGCATCCCTGTCTTCACCTTTTTCAGCATGCTTTCAGAGTCTGTTACAATTACGCCATGTGTATGCATCTTGTTCTCTAGCCACTGGAGAGCTGCAGTTACCGCCTCCACCTCCATTCTCATGCTAGATGTTGTGGTGTCATATGCTAGGTTGTCTTCCACTCGTGGAATTCCAACATTAATGCTAGGGGCAAATTATGACGTCAAAATGGCTTTTCAAAAGAAATGATGTGTTCACAAGAAAACCATTCTAAGTGCTACTTTTAGTAAATAGTCGTAACTGACCTCCCCAATATTGCACAGGTTGTTAACTAGGCTTCTCGGCAACAGGCGACCACAGAAATACTGACCAATCAACATTTATGGGGATGTGTCACAAACGGAAGTAACAAGATTTCGGCTTCTCAGGGTGAAAGGTTAAATGTGACTACACATTCTGTCAAACTACTGACCACACAGCCAACCAAACTACTATTTCAATAAGAACATTCAAACAGTGAAATATCTACTAGTAAAAAATGGTTCAGCCATTTGCCCCGTGCTCTGACTGTTTTGAACCAAACCATTATTTACCAAAAAAGCTAATATTATAAACATATAAAAGTAAGAACAAACAGTTCTTTAATAATATCCTACCCTACATGACGTAACAGGATAAACATTTTAGAGGGTGGTAAGACTGGGTTTTCCGGCTTTTTGATGCTTTTAATGACCCTAAAACATCTAGAACTGGCCCTAACCCCAACCCACCTACGTTCTAGCCTAGGCCCCACAACTGCATGCAGCCTATCTACCATCCCCTTTAATATTAGACTGTCCCACGACCTGTGGATTTTCCCTATTTGGGGTAGGATATTAATAAAGCACCAAAAAAAAACTTACTCAGAATGATCACAGAAACTATGGACAAGTCGTAAAAACTGAATCTTCAAAGCCACTTCCTGTAAAAAGAAACGGCAGGAGAATGTTTAAAACATGATCACATGTTGTTTCTTCTTCTTCCTTGATCATGCGAGTGACAAAACATGATCACACGTTGTTTTTTTTCTTCTTTTTCTTCCTTGATCATGCGAGTGACAAAACACGATCACACGTTTTTTTTTCTTCTTTTTCTTCCTTGATCATGCGAGTGACAAAACATGATCACACGTTGTTTCTTTTTCTTCCTTGATCATGCGAGTGACAAAACATGATCACGCGTTTTTTTCTTCTTTTTCTTCCTTGATCAAGCGAGTGACAAAACATGATCACACGTTTTTTTTTTTCTTCTTTTTCTTCCTTGATCATGCGAGTGACAAAACATGATCACACGTTGTTTCTTTTTCTTCCTTGATCATGCGAGTGACAAAACATGATCACACGTTGTTTTTTTTCTTCTTTTTCTTCCTTGATCATGCGAGTGACAAAACATGATCACACTTTGTTTCTTTTTCTTCCTTGATCATGCGAGTGACAAAACATGATCACACGTTGTTTCTTCTTCTTCCTTGATCATGCGAGTGACAAAACATGATCACACGTTGTATCTTCTTCTTCCTTGATCATTCGAGTGACAAAACATGATCACACATTGTTTCTTCTTCTTTCTTGATCATGCGAGTGACAAAACATTATCACACGTTGATTCTTCTTCTTCCTTGATCATGCGAGTGACAAAACATGATCACACGTTGTTTCTTCTTCTTCCTCGATCATGCGAGTGACAAAACATGATCACACGTTGTTTCTTCTTCTTCCTCGATCATGCGAGTGACAAAACATTATCACACGTTGATTCTTCTTCTTCCTTGATCATGCGAGTGACAAAACATGATCACACGTTGTTTCTTCTTCTTCCTCGATCATGCGGGTGACAAAACATGATCACATGTTGTTTCTTCTTCTTCCTTGATCATGCGGGTGACAAAACATGATCACAAGTTTCTTCTTCTTCATCATCGATCATGCGAGTGACAAATGTGCTGTACCTATTTACAGCATAGCTGTGATACAGTATGGAACTGATGAGCAGAACTCATCAGGGACCAAAGAAATTGTTGTTCTTATCAAAAATGACTTATCCAGATAAAAATTCAAACAGAAATGCCCCACATCTGACATTGCCTTAAGCGGTCTGCACTGCATTTGTGCCTTTCGGCCGACACACCCAGCTTCAAGCATGTGTTATCCAGATTAGCCTTTCCAGTTAGTTTCCTCAGATATCTGTAGCCTCAGGTGTGGTGACTTCATCATCCCTGATCCACAGGTGTTGTCCCTAGAAGACCCTGTACAGAGCAGTTGGGTGCAGCAAAACTCTCCTGTGTACGCTTTTAAATTTATATTCGTCCCAGGGCATGCAGGCATTATTGGTAATGAAAGAGCTGATAAGACTGGCAGGGCTGCATTCACAGAAGATCTCCAGCCCATGGATCACGCAAACTTGGTCATTGCCCTTAAAGAGATCAGTCATTCTGAGGTTTTTGTAAGTGACGTGTCCACATCACTGCTAAGAATACGAGAACTGGGAGTAAAGACTGGCACAGCCAAGCACGAGAAGCACACCGGAGGCACATGAAGTCTTGTAAACCAATATAGAATTGGCACTATTAATCTATGGATGTGTCCAGGGTGCTGTGAAGAAAATTTAACTCATAACTCAGTCGGGTGCAGTTGAGTCAACCTCAAGGGAAGGCGGGGCAAGAACATTATGGGTATTCACCATTCAATCCAAGGAGGCTTCCATTTAATGCATGGCCGATACCTGGCACTATGGTACTAGGCTCACCCAAGGAATCCTCACCTTTTGCACCTGACAGGTTATCCTCACATCCTTATACTGAGCCTTCACCTAATTACAGTTGCGCTTTATGTCTCTGTGGCAGAGTGGTCAAGCTGTTTGCCTCGTGCTCTGAAGGGCGTGGGTTCATTTCACGGCGGTGCCGTTCAGTTCAGGAGTGCAATTTTTACGGAGATCCCTGGGGATCGTCGCCAGAGCTATGGAGGTGGTACTCTGTGCGACGCTCTTGGCAGGCATCTAGCTGTACTGCAGGGAAAGACTGAGTTATATGGGATAAAACCCGGTGCAATGAAGTTGGTCCTCCCACCTTTACCTTGCCTTTAGGGATCCCTACAAACTGTTTGACATGCACATTGAAAATAACAGCCTCCTTGTTTTCATATTCATTTGTGGCCAATTAAAAAGACTGCCTCACATCTCAAATAGATATCAAGGGCTAACAACGTTTAAAATGTTGAACAACTGTGGCATTCAAAAAATAAATGTTCCATTAATCTTCATAAGGATCCCTTTTCGGCTGCAACCATTTGTTACTAAACTATAATTGCCTCATAAGTGCATGTTCACTGTTGTAGCTCAGTTGTATGCCTGACTGTATACACACTTGCCAGTTCAACACATAGCTCAGTTGTATGCCTGACTGTATACACACTTGCCAGTTCAACACGTGGCTCAGTTGTATGCCTGACTGTATTCACACTTGCCAGTTCAACACATAGCTCAGTTGTATGCCTGACTGTATACACACTTGCCAGTTCAACACGTGGCTCAGTTGTATGCCTGACTGTATACACACTTGCCAGTTCAACACATGGCTCAGTTGTATGTCTGACTGTATACACACTTGCCAGTTCAACACATGGCTCAGTTGTATGTCTGACTGTATACACACTTGCCAGTTCAACACATGGCTCAGTTGTATGCCTGACTGTATACACACTTGCCAGTTTAACACATGGCTCAGTTGTATGCCCGACTGTATTCACACTTGCCAGTTCAACACATGGCTCAGTTGTATGCCCGACTGTATACACACTTGCCAGTTCAACACATGGCTCAGTTGTATGCCCGACTGTATTCACACTTGCCAGTTCAACACATGGCTCAGTTGTATGCCTGACTGTATACACACTTGCCAGTTCCACACATGGCTCAGTTGTATGCCTGACTGTATACACACTTGCCAGTTCAACATGTGGCTCAGTTGTATGCCTGACTGTATACACACTTGCCAGTTCAACACATGGCTCAGTTGTGTGCCCGACTGTATTCACACTTGCCAGTTCAACACATGGCTCAGTTGTATGCCCGACTGTATTCACACTTGCCAGTTCAACATGTGGCTCAGTTGTATGCCCGACTGTATACACACTTGCCAGTTCAACATGTGGCTCAGTTGTATGCCCGACTGTATTCACACTTGCCAGTTCAACACGTGGCTCAGTTGTATGCCCGACTGTATACACACTTGCCAGTTCAACACATGGCTCAGTTGTATGCCCGACTGTATACACACTTGCCAGTTCAACATGTGGCTCAGTTGTATGCCCGACTGTATACACACTTGCCAGTTCGACACATGGCTCAGTTGTATGCCCGACTGTATACACACTTGCCAGTTCAACATACGGCTCAGTTGTTTTCCAGTTTAGCACATTCGCCTGTTTATCAACAAGATAAAACAGTTCACTATCCTGCTGCCAATTAAGAGGTCACCAAGACTAATTTTGTAAACATACACCCATTCTTCTTCTCTTCATTTAAGTGCTTGATCTCAAGCAGTCACTGGTAATCAAGAATATTCAATCCTTTTGGGTAATGGAACATAATTCTTTGGGGCAGAGGTTCTCAACTGCTGTTCCGTAGAACCCCGAAGGCTGCATGTGCATTTCTCAGAGGCTCCGTGGCTGCTCCCGGAAATTTTTTTTTTTCAATTTACGAAAAAGGATTAAGAAATAAAACTAGAAATTACATTTGAATGGACATTTTCCCTGTGTGGGTTCCGGGGTCCCACTGTGGGGGAAACAAAGAATAGATCCACTGCCTCCCCAACAAGCACGTCATAGAAGTCGATTAACTGGGGACTTCCTTTGAAGTTGGAGTACATCTGCCCGAGTGGCAAGGAACAACCAGCTGCACACAAATAAGTCAGTAAAACAGATGTACACGCAAAGCTCAGGCCCTGGCACAAAGCTAAAGTCCAAATGGACGAACAACCAGCACTTTCCGCCGGAGCTTACAGCCGATAAACAAAGAAGAATGAATGGAAATGTGCCAAGCGGAATTCTGCCTCTCTTCTTCTTGATGTCAAGACAACAGCAAATAACAATACTGTATCAAGGAGAAGTCAAAAACTTCAGTAAATAATACTATAGCAAAGGAAGGTTGTGACAAATACTGTATCAAGGAGAAGTCAAAAACTTCAGTAAATAATACTATAGCAAAGGAAGGTTGTGACAAATACTGTAGCAAGGAGAAGTCAAAAACTTCAGTAAATAATACTATAGCAAAGGAAGGTTGTGACAAATACTGTAGCAAGGAGAAGCCAAAAACTTCAGTAAATAATACTATAGCAAAAGAAGGTTGTGACAAATACTGTATCAAGGGAAAGTCAAAGACTTCAGTAAATAATACTATAGCAAAGGAGGGTTGCAGCAAATATTGTATCAAGGAGAAGTCAAAAACAGACTAAATATCTGCAACGGTTAGTTACATAGAGAACATTGGTAACTGATACTTGTTCTTACATTTTCATTAAACATGTGGGAAGTCACAACAACATGTATAAAGTATATAAGAGATCACTCTTGTTACTTACAGGACTGCATTCACATGAAGAGTTGTGCCCCCTCAACCTGTGCCTTGTCTGTGAACGGCTGCTGGGAACAACCAGAGGAAATATGCCGCAATTTGAAGAAGAAGAAAAAACATTACATGCGAGATATGAGGGTTAATAAAGTATCTACTGCTTTGATAAAGATATGGGACATTGTGCTAAATCCATATTTGTATGTACCAGTCGAAATCTGAAGGGTCTGTCTTTACAGTCTACAGCAGTGTTCTTTAACATTTTTACATCCGTGTTCCACTAAAACAGAGACAATTTTTAGGTGGCCCACCTGACAATTAGTCAAACACAAAAATAAACACATGTTGGTGGTAGTTTATTTCTTAAGCCCAATGTCACCAAATCAGTTTTTAACTAATGCAACATCTGCTGCTAGGGTTACAGAAATGTGATTTTTGAAGTACAAGATCACTGTTCCTGATAAACGACACTCTGCAAAAACACCCATTCAGTTTCTCCATTTGTTTTTATTTACTGACAGGCCTGAGAAAGTCTTTTCCCACAAACAGAAAGTCCCTGAGCACCGGAAGAGAAACACTATCTACCCTATCTCATTACATGATTAAGCGATCAACTTCGCAGCCACATGTACACAAAATTTAAAATCAGCGAATCAGCACACGTGGATTGACACCTGAGAAACAGATCATGTCCTCCGAGACTGTACCAAATACAACATATCAAGGCAAAACTTTTGGCCAAGAGAAACATCAGTGCAAGTCAAACTATACGAGTCGCTGAGTGAATTACAAAAGACAGTAAAGTTCATACTAGAGACAACATTGCAGATATAGATAAAGAATTTCAAAAGACTGTTCCCGCAGCCCACCAGTTGAAGAAACACTGGTCTACAGAACCACAATTCAGTGTGCGGTTAAGACAGGGGTCGTAAGCATGAGGATTTAAGGCTGCATGGCCAGCGCAGCCGCCATGAACTTTGCAGGCTAAGATATACATTTTTGCCCAGAGCAAAAGAAAAAAAACATCAATCATCTTAATAAGGATTCAAACCTGGCTCCCCTGCAAAACAGCTTATCATTTTAACCTTTGGCAAAGGGTTGAATCTGAACAATAATGAGGTCAACCGATATCATGCCAGTTACTTTTATAGACAAGAACATTTCCTAAATCTATTCTAGGCTGGGCTGATATGGCAACGCAAGATATGAAGGAAATCAAATATTACTATGGGGTATCATTATCCTCATGTGCCCTGCCATCTGGTGTAGGCACTCATGCATCTTCGCAGATCACGATCCCTGGTTGCCTGGAACTGCTCTTTTGATATCCCTCCATGCCATCATTTCAGCCCATCCAGCAACATCTCTCTTGGTCTGCCTCTACCCCTTTTTTCCACTGATCTTTCCAGTTGTCACAATGTTCTCCAATGTCTTTCTTCTCATTATGTGGCCAAAGAACAGTGTTTGTCTCTTTCTTATTGTTGTATACAGAGACCTACTTTCATAAGCTTCTTTCAAGCAATCATTGTTAGTTACTCTGGCTGTCCAATGTATTCGAACATTCGTCTCAGAAACCACATCTCTGTTGCTTCCAAATTTGTTCACTGGCTTTCCGAGATTCGCTGCCATACAGCAGAACAGGTTCTATGCAACATTTTAGCACCCTCTTTCTTACATTAAATGAGAGCCATTTACTGCATAAGATATTTTTCATTTTCTGAAATGAAACTTTTGCTTGCCCTTTTCTGCTTTTAATCTGTTACACATTTTCCATCTGATGATATGATTGTTCCCAGTTATTTGAATTTATTGACTAGCTATAGCGTCATCTAGGGTAGGATACTAATAAAGAACCATTTTCCATTAAATCAAATGTTTACAAGTCAAGAACTTCACTGTGCTGTGTTTTATCATGTATAGTTCAGTCTTACTGCAGAATGACTGCCCAGACTGACACAAACATAAAATCAATGATTACAAGTCAAATGGTAAATGAGGACTTGCTGAAATCAGATGGCAGAAAGGCACAAATATCACAGCCTAGCTATAAACCATGACAGAATGTGCCAATTGCCTTTCTGAGGGGGAGGAGCAGGATGAGAACGGAGGGATTGGGAAGAAACAAAAGGCAGAAGTAGGAAGAGGAGGACAAGAAAGAACAACAAGTGACCACTTACACTTGGCATTTCCAGATGAATTGGTCAAATAACTCGCTCAGACCTGAGGCCAGTTTTAACTCTGCCAGTTTTCGTTGTACCTGCAACAGAACAAACAACTTATGGTAGTCACGTGAATGTAGGTGAACTTGTGTATCTTTGAATATTTGGTAGCGCCCCTGTGAAGAGAACACAGCTCTTCAGGGCGCCGTGACGCAGTTTGGAAACCACTGGTCTAGTTCATTCTCCACATGACAACGTTTTTGTTTTTCATGCAGCACAATCTTTCTATACTTCCTTATTATTTTTCTCTAAGGTCAAGTTGAAAAGGTGGAGAACAGCACCTTATTTGAAATGTTGAATGTTGAATTAAGAATCAACATCACAGCACTCGAGACACCCACATAAGTGCTCTGTCCTCATCTTCAGCCGCAAACGGAGAGTTAAATTCCAATGGCACCAGTAACTGTCTAACTATAACCTTACTTGTAGATGTATTTGTAGGCAGATGATGCACTCCGACTTTTAAGGAAACGTTCCTAATTAGTTGCTTTTTTAACATTTACTTGTTAGTGGTTCGAAAATGGGGGTCGCTGAACCCATACGGGGAGCAAAGAATCTGATTTCCTGCCTTTTAATATTTCTAAATTGTAGGCAAGCACGCTCACACAAAACAGAGGAAAACATATATTCCTAAAGGCTTCAAGATTAAGTATCACAGAGACCCTAGACTACACAATCTAAACAGAGATAATTCCCTGTGTGGGTCCTGGCACCCCACTTTGAGGGGAAGAAATAGATCTACTGCCCCCCTTAACAAGCATGTCGTAAAAGGTGAGAGTTTTACTGAAATCTAGCTGTAAACCACAAAACAAGCCAACCGCCCCAAATGCAGAAAAACAAAAATAAGTTACCTTTTTTCTATGTTTCCCCAGCAAAAAAAGTCCCAACACGTACACGACCTCTACCCGTTGGACCAGTTCTTCGGTTATTGCCAGAGCCTGCTGGGTCACCATAGGATTGCCTTCAGAAGTTGGCTCAGAAACACCTGTAAGGAAACACATTTGCCATCAAAGCGGGCATATTCAGTGTCCCAATAAGCAAAAGTCAGCAACAAACAAGCAAAGTTGGCAACAAAACAAGCAAAGTTGGCAACAAAACAAGCAAAGTTGGCAGCAAAACAAGCAAAAGTCAGCAACAAACAAGCAAAGTTGGCAACAAAACAAGCAAAGTCAGCAACAAAACAAGCAAAGTTGGCAACAAAACAAGCAAATGGGTCACTTAAATTTGCACACAAATATCTTCTAAAGTACTTTACCTATGCATCAAACAAGGAGAATTTCAGCGGAGTGCACAAACTGGAGCATTTCAAATTTAAGATATACCTCACACACCATTTCCATCTAACCCCAAAATCTTCAAAGACAGAGTGAAGACAAAGTGGTGAACCAACAAAATCTTCAAAAACACCAAAAACAGATGAGTGAAGACATAACAGCAAACGAACAAACATCTTCAAAAACAAATGAGTGAAGACAAAGTGGCGAACAACAAAATCTTTCAAAACAGATGCGTGAAGACAAAGTGGTAACAACAACATCTCCAAAAACAGATGAGTAAAGACAAAGTGGCGAACAACAAAAACAGTTAAGACAAAAAGTGAATAACAAAATCTTCAAAAACAGAAAGCGTGAAGCCAAAAAGTGGCTAACCTCCAACAAAATCTTCAAAATCATCTGTGGCCTCTGGCTCATAGACTTCATCTGCCATTTTGTTGTCAATCCACTCCATCCAGCAGTCCAACTCACTGGGCATACCTCTGTATCGAGGTGTATCTGTGACAGAAAACAACACATCTTTTGAAAAACAGAACAAACATTTTCAACAATTCTATAACTGACTAACAGAACAAACATTTCAACAATTCTATAACTGACTAATAGAACAACATTTTCAACAATTTTATAACTAAAGCAATGTTTCCCCGTTGTAAATTTGAACAAAGAAGACACAAACAATAGACTGCACAATTTATTGCCTGGCATATTTCGCTGTATCTCATCAGGTGCATACTTCAGTAACAATTAATTAAAATGAAGCAAATAGCTGAATCCTAGAAACTGAAACACAAATTCGAGTAGATTTCAAACTGTTTCACCAAGGTAAACGTAGGGCAACGACCATTTCCTTTTGCCTACAAAGTTCCGGTTTCAATCTGCCAATCGCTGAAGCTTCCGCGTATCGAAGTAATCTACGGTTAGCCGAACAGTTCGGCTAACCGTAGATTACTTCGATACGCGGAAGCTTCAGCGATTGGCAGATTGAAACCGGAACTTTGTAGGCAAAAGGAAATGGTCGTTGCCCTACGTTTACCTTGGTGAAACAGTTTGAAATCTACTCGAATTTGTGTTTCAGTTTCTAGGATTCAGCTATTTGCTTCATTTTAATTAATTGTTACTGAAGTATGCACCTGATGAGATACAGCGAAATATGCCAGGCAATAAATTGTGCAGTCTATTGTTTGTGTCTTCTTTGTTCAAATTTTATAACTGACTAACAGAACAAACATTTCAACAACTCTATAACTGACTAACAGAACAAACATTTCAACAACTCTATAACTGACTAACAGAACAAACATTTCAACAATTCTATAACTGACTAACAGAACAAACATTTCAACAACTCTATAACTGACTAACAGAACAAACATTTCAACAACTCTATAACTTACTAACAGAACAAACATTTCAACAACTCTATAACTGACTAACAGAACAAATATTTCAACAATTCTATAACTGACTAACAGAACAAACATTTCAACAACTCTATAACTGACTAACAGAACAAACATTTCAACAATTCTATAACTGACTAACAGAACAAACATTTCAACAACTCTATAACTGACTAACAGAACAAACATTTCAACAATTCTATAACTGACTAACAGAACAAACATTTCAACAATTCTATAACTGACTAACAGAACAAACATTTCAACAACTCTATAACTTACTAACAGAACAAACATTTCAACAACTCTATAACTTACTAACAGAACAAACATTTCAACAACTCTATAACTGACTAACAGAACAAACATTTCAACAATTCTATAACTGACTAACAGAACAACATTTTCTACAATTCTATGAATGACAAAGAAACATTTTCTACAAAAACAGAAAGCACAATAACATTTTCAATAATTCTATAATGGAATAGGGAGTCGCCTTGGCAGAGCGGCTAGATGCAAGCTGCGGATCGAAAGGTCGTGGGTTCGCTCCCTGGCGAAGTCAGAATTTTCTTCAAAAATGACCTTGGCTCCCAGGTCGGCCCAGCCTTGAGTGGGTACCGGGTACAGTCCTGGGAAGTAGAGGCGGCCGGCGTGATGCTGACCACATCATCCATCTTGTGCCGCTGGTCTATAAAATATAGGTCTAGCCCTATATGCCCTATACGCCAACACTTTTTACTTTTACTATAATGGAATACACTAGAATTTTCATAAACTATAAAACCCCAAAAATAACATTTTCAAAAAATCTAAAACAGGACACATTTTCAACAAAATAAATGATCATCAACTAGTATTTCTGTAAACCTCTGGATAGTTTCTCCAGTTATGCTGGTGTGCTGGAAAATTAACAGGCAGACAGGCTGGCTGGTTCTGCACCACTTGGTGGTAAACAGCTTCATGACAAGCTAGATGTTGTAAGCATCCTTTGGGAGTGAGTGAACAGCACAAACAGATCATGATCTGGGGAGAATGGTCCTGAGAGAAGTCATCAGGGCATCTGGCCAATGCTCATGATTCAGGGGATGGGCAAGATGGACATATTTTTTTTCTTTTTTAAAGGCAGTTATTGAAGCAGTCAGATTTGGCATCTGTGCTTGCTGCTAAAGATGGGGATGAAGCTCTTACTGGAATATTCCTGCCACTATTATATAAGTTATTCATTTCTTAATATTCTACTTTTCATACTTTCATTCTTTATTAATTTTTTTTATTTTCTATGTTGCTTTCTCAAAAGTAGAGGTTGGCTCCAGCTGATATGTTCATTTACTGCATTACATTACTTGATTATCTTTGGGAATATTACATTGTTAAGGCCCCACTTTCTTCTCTGGTGTGACTCTTATACCAATGTCCGAAAGCAACAAGAACTTTACGATACTGCATACATAAAATATATGTCATATTCGGAACACCCCTGAGCTACTGTATGCTCATTTCATGTTAAATAAAAACAGCTTACACGCAGCATGCCTTGGAATGTCATATCATTACACAAAATGCAAGCTGAAAAATATCAAGATTGAAATGGACAGAATGAATATCAATGTATTAAGTAAGCATTGGCAAAAATAATGGCCGGGGACAGAAGAAAGTATTTAAACTATTTACTCCTTGGAATGAATACAAAATACATTTGAATGATCTTACATCATCAGAGATCGAAACGTACCCCATAATGTGTGTAGTTTATTTTTATTTTAACTATTACATTAACTCTACTTTTAGCCTTATTGGCCAGATATTTCTAGCCGAGTCCAATTCCCAGTAAAGTAACGTGTTTACGAGACACACAATTAGAGCCATAGGTAAGTTTCACGGCTACGCAGAGTTAACAAGGCCAGAATATGAATATATTTACTAAAAATACATTAAGGGGTCTTCTTGTGAACTAAGTGCCTTGTCCAAGCCAAGGTGTGGTCAAATTTTCCTCATAGCATCAATGAAAGAGGTCACGAGGTAACGGCAAGAGTCACCTGACATACATCTTTTTTTTTGTTAATGGCTGGGGAGAGGGTGTATTATATTTAATTTTTCACTATGTTCATATTTACTGATCACTCCCTTATTTTTTTTTTTTTTATTTCAAATTTGAAAAACTAAAATTAATTTAAAATGTATTAGTGGCCTGTGTAAAATGGTTTTACAGATTTTTTCAGGAATTCCCATGGGTAGGTGACTCACTTTTAAGTGTTTCCAAGGTTAACATTTATAGCAGTAATGAGCTGACAAATATTCTAAATATTGTACTATGTATTATTTCTTTTCAATTTCCAGATTTTTAGAGGCTATGAAGCCAACCAAGCCTCAAAATCAAGGCATGTTGCAGTATCTGTCATAGATCTTAAAATATTTAAAAATTCTAAAAGAATCAAAAATGTAAAGTAAAAAACCAAACACACCCTTACATTCTTTGTTGATTGCTATTTGTACAAGACGAGGCAACAGGTCTGGAATACCCAACAGTAGTTCTGCAACAAACAAAAATAAGGAAAATGTGACTGGTACAGATTACAGAGTACAGTTAACTCTAGGAGGTGATTGCTATTTTTATGGCATGGCTAAGTTAAATGACTAGGTCAGTTGTTTATCCATCACAAGTTACAAGACCACGGCCAATTACTGCCTTTATTATACCACTTTTGCGGTATGAGCGGGAGGGGGCTGTCGATACAACTGTGTAGGTGAGGATTTACGGCTGCATGGCTAGTGCTGTCGCCACGGACTGTGCAGGTGAGGATTTTATTTTTACAAGACCACTAAGCATCCACAAATAATTGGATGAAAGTTACAGGTTAAAGTAGAGATAATCAATTCCACTGAACCCGGTTTCTTCTTCACATTCACCAGCTGTAAATTCAGATGGAAAACTATGGTTGTTTATCCACTTCTGGAAGTTGTTCTTATTCCAGAACCTGAGTGTAGCATGCACTTCCGTTTGACTGACTTCCACTTATTTGTATGCAGACTGTTGGTACTTTGGCTCTCAAGCAGATGCATTCTGACTTTAAAGTATGCTCCCTAATTAGCTGACTCCTATGAAATGCTTGTTAGGGAGGCAGTGGGTAACCCACATGATGACAAAACCCTGTTTTAACCCACATGGTTTGGTCTTTCTCCACAGAATCACTAGTCGCCTTCTGTCAAGAGCGTCGCACAAAGCATAAACTACGCAGCTCTGGCGACGATCGGTACTGCCTTACTTCTTTCTTCCTTTGTGTTCACCAACCATAAACTTGTTTGTCTACTTCTGAACTTTGGTTTTGCTCCAAAACTAAGTTATGCTTGCATAGACATTTTACAGATCTGGCTTATTTGTATGCAGACTGTTGGTTTCTTGCCTCTTAGACAGATGTACTCCAACTTAAAGGAAACAAGCATAATTAGTCACCTTTTAGAGTCATGCATATTAGGAGGGCTGTGGGTCTATCCCCCCCTTTCCCCTTCCACCACACCACATTAAAATGGTAGGGGAGTGGGTTCCCAGAACCCACAGAGGACGATGTGCTCTGACAATTCTGTTAATGTTTTACACCGCCCCACATGTTTCAGCTGTATAATTTGGCTGCAACACCAATCAAATACACTTTATAATCTGTTCAGTACAACAACAACAACAGACAGCACAATACAATAAAAACAAGCACACAGCACAATAAAAACAAGCACACAGCACAACATTACAGAAAGGAAAATGAAAAACAATCTTGCCTTGATTGATGTCTCTTAGATTCACAAATCCCTTACTCCTCTTCTGTTTGTTTTGTGCAAACACTGTAAAGGATACCAAAAAAATAATGCAATAAAACAGCAAAGACAGCTGAGAAAACAGAACAGTAAATAATGCAAGAAAACAAATACTGTTGAGAAAAATTAGAAATTTTGAATCAGAATTTGTGCAGAGAAAGTAAAACAAAGGGGGACACACTGACATCTCGAGCTTCAGGGGTGCATATGTTGTATAGACAAAACCCCCTTTTGTCAAACTTTCTGTCATGAAACAAAAAGGATATAATGACAAGCAGACAAGAGTTCACCAGCTGAAGAAAGCAAACTGTCCAGGACAAGGAACTCTAATAACAAACCTCCAGTGTCTAACATACAGGTCCTTGCTGCCCATGGACTAAGAAAATTACACCAAAGTAAGAATTTCCTGGCCAAAGTCAGTCAGTCAGGTCAGTACCTTTGAGTGTGTTCCGGGGCCCTATTACAAGGAAAACAAGAATAGACCCACTGCCTACTCAAAAGCATGTAGTAAGAGTCGACTTATTGGGAGCTTCCTTCGATGTCAGAGTGCATGTGTCTGAGAGGCAAGGAACCAGCAGTCTGCATACAAATGAGGCAGATCTGTAGAACAGATGCACAAGCAAACCCAAGGTTCTGGAACAGGACTGCGGTTCAGAAGTGGACGAAGAATCTGAACTTTCTGCCAGAGTTTACAGTTGGTGAAAGCTAAGAAGAAGAAGAAGAAGCCAGTTCAGAAAGGTATCACAGTAAAACGTGAAACCCATTACTCAACTCTTCCCTGTAAGGAGAAACGAAACAAAGCCGTAAAAGTACAGACAAAATGACAAACATAACATCCAAGTGACCACACACTTACATGAGGACTTATTTTCATAAATGTCCAGATCAGAAATGGCTACAGCTAATATCCTGCAGAAGTTGGCCAGCTGCGAGTCGTCCAGGTAAGCAATTAAAGCTCGAAGGTTGGCTACAGAGGCAACAAACAAATGGCAGAATACCTTTTTATTTTGCAAAATACTTGCAGATAAATACAAACATAAGTTTTTTAAATCTGCTGCCTATATTTTTTATGTTTGAGGGCCCCAGCAGAAACAATTTTACATTCAACAGTTTGCAAACGCTTAGTCCTCTGACTAAGGGGTCAACTATTTGTCTTTACAAACGTGAAATATTTGAATACGTGATGTGAAGCCAGTAATATTTTACTAAACTTTGTTTCCATTTTTTTAATACCAAACTAAAAAGTTTTAACTCTTACATAAAATCAGTACTGTTGTATGGAGCGGAAACATGGAAAACAACTAAGGCAATTACTAATAAACTACAAACATTCATTAACTGGTGCCTGCGCAGAACAGAGGGAATTAAATTGTAGGATAGAATCACTAATGTAGATCTTTGGGAGAGAACTAAACAAGTTCCAGTGGACGAAGAGGTGAAGAAAAGACGCTGGCATTGAATAGGACACACGTTGAGAAAACTTGAAAACAATGTAACAAGAATGTCTTTGCACTCTAACCCACAGAGGCATAGAAAAAAAGGAAGATAAAAAAAAACATGAAGAAGGGAGCTAGAGAAAGAAGTTAAAAAGATGGGGAGACAACCAGGCTTGGGGTGGTTTAGGGCCTATGCTCCACTGGGGGTTAGAAAGGCAGAAGAATAAGTTCTTTTTTAATATTCTTGTTATAATTATGTGTAATTTGTACTTGGCAGATGCACTCTTCAGTGGCTATCATGTGCTGCAGGCAATTGAGTTGCGTTGAGTCAAGAATTGACATCACAGCACTCGGGGCATTCCCATGAATGCTCTTTCCTCATCCTCATCTCCAGCAGCCAGCGCAGAGTTCCAATACTGATGGTACCAGTCACAATCTGGTTATATGTCCGTTTTGCCTTTCCTCTGAATGTGTATTGAGCCGGCCAGACCCTCTGATTACACCCAGGTGCCTCATTCTTTCCAGACCATAATAATCTTGTTTCTCTTCTGATTCCGTTGCTTGTTCTTAAAGGGCCTTGACCACATCTGCCTTGTCATGTATCAATTCACCACCCAATGGTGCAGATCCAGCCAATCTGTCTACCTGTTCATTACCCACTATGACGGCATAGCCTGGAGAAAAGATCCAAAGTATGTTCACTACCCGTGACCTTCCCAGCGAAGCTTGCCACTCTGCTTGAAAGCATCCCTGTCTTCACCTTTCTCAACATGCTTTCAGAATCTGTTACAATTACGACACATGTATGAATCTTATTCTCTAGCCACAGGAGAGCTGCAATTACCGCCTTCACCTCCATTCTCACGCTAGATGTTGTGATGCTGTATGCTAGGCTGTCTTGCACTAGAGATTTTCCACTGGCTTTCGCTAGGAGCTCCCCCCCCCCCCCCCCTTAAGGCACTTCTTTTTCCTCTCAACACAGAACCATCTGTAACTGTCATCTGCAGGCAGTTTACCGTAACACACAGACGGGTCTCCTCCCAGTCTGCATGGATTTGACAAAAATTCCCAGACAGAACAGCCCCTCCAATTTCAGAAGAACTTTATTTGTAACTAGCTCTTGTGTGTTCTAGCTGTTCTGCAATAAACAAAAACAGCAAAAGAAGCAGTTTGACAGATACAACAATATACAACAAAGACTGACTGGATTTAAACATTTTTTTTTTTCAAACAGAGAATTTTGCAATAGCAAGAATAGAACTAGTACTCACAGCAAGTTAGAGGACCAAAACCGGGAGATGGAGGGCCTCAGGCCACCTTACCCTCCAAAGAAAAATGTTTTTGAAATATTTCAAATGTATTAGATTTATTTACTATTGGAACAGAATTAGGTCAATAAAAAGGAAAGGACCCTTTCCATGCCTTTATGTGAATTGTGTATATAGGGCTAAACCTATATTTTATAGACCAATCAGCCCTCTGTGGGTAATGTGGTCAACATCACGCCGGCCATCTTTACTTTCCAGTACCCCACAAGGTACCCATTTAAGGCTGGGTTGACCTGGGAGCCAAGGTCATTTTTGAAAAAAAGTATTGCACCATCAGGACCCAAACCCACGACCTTCGATCAGCATGCAAGCATTTAGCTGCTACACCCGACGACTCCCAGATGAAGAACAGAGGCACAGAAAGCACAGCAGACTCACTAATGCGATGTAGATCTAGGACATCCTTTCTATGCTGCAGAATGTCCTCTATAAGCTGGCAGGCATTAACGTAGGTCTTCCTACTGGCCAGCAAAGAGAACAGGTAGTTCATGGTTTCATCACAGAACAGCTCTTTCGAAAGTGGTTTGTCGCCGACACACTGAAATAATATCACATGATAAATGTATATTAGTTGGCAAATAGTAAAATTTTCTCGGATTTAGTCACACAATGCCAAAGCCTCATTTTGGTGGGGGTGTGAGGGAAAGTACAGACCCACTGCATCTTTAACCGCCATTGAAACAGACAACTGAAACCCAGCCCTTAAAAACTCTAGTGGATCAGTCAGTTACAATAGTCTGGACATGTATGCAGAATGGGAGAAAATTGGCCACCATATCAGGCATGGGAGGCTAAGTAAGAACCAGACTTCCAGGGCGACCCAAAGTCTGCTGGGAAGGCAACATCTGACAGTCCCTGACTCAGAGGACTGGACCAGAACAAAGCCAGAAAGAAAACTGCTGACAGAGAAGTCTGGCCATCTCTCTGGCAAACCTCTATACCCCCAGGTAGAAGAGAAGCGACTAAGTAAGTAAGTAAAAGACAACATGCAAAATGCCCTTTTAGGATTTAATGCAGAATATGAATACCTTTCCTGGACATATCTACTGTAGTGGATGTGATCAGGAAATGACATCTATGTACTTTAGCATGCAGTTAGACATTGTGCAGACTTAATAAGACGACCTAGCACTGCACGGTGTTGTTGGTAAATGTTAGGAAACACCCGAACTGTAAATGGAGATTAGCTGAGGGAGACAGGGCACTTATGTGCACATCATAAGTGCTGTAATACTGTTTCTGTTAACCAACAGTCAATTCTTCTGCATTCCCTTAAAGCCGGAGTGCATCTGTCCAAGAGGCAGGGAACAAAAATGGTCCATAAAAAAGCCAGTGAAACAGATGTACACACAAAACTCAGGTCCTGGTAAAAAGTCACAGTCCAAATTAACAAACAATAATAACTTTACGCCAGAATTCACAGCCAGTGAATGCAAAGAAAAAGAATGCACTCTGCATTAGCTCTTAAAAAGGCAGTTGGAATGATGTGTTGTGGTTTACAGCTAGGCTGCAATATCCTAACCTTTTGGCCACATCCAAGTACACATGCATCTAATTATTTGCCAGCTACGACATGCCTGATGGGGGCAATGAGTACCCCCTCCCCAAAAAGGGGGTTTCAGAAGATCCTCTTAAAAAGTCAAAAACAGGGAAAAGGGTGCGATGAAGTGGTCCAACTATTTTCCTTGTGCCCTGAAGTCATGGGCTTTATTTCTGTCAAACCGCTTACAGCACTCAGTTCACAAGCAATTTTTATAGAACTGATACGCACCAACTCATACCGAACCCTATTTTCTTGCTGCTTTTTGTAGCTCCTTTCTTGTTCTTATATGCCTATCAAAATCAGAGCCAAAGTTGAGAGGATCGACTTACTGAATGTTTCCATGTCAAGACAACCTTTTTATTTTTACCCCAAAATTATTAAATAAATATTTTCAACACATTCTGTGTATAAAACAATCCCCACTTTTAAACAACAACAAAAATGGGAAAACATATACACATAAAAATACGGTTAACTGCACAGGAGTTATCTCATACTAATAAGTCTCTCTTTATAGATAAACTTACTGCCTGCCGATAGCCTTAAATGAAGCAGGAACCCCCCGTCTTCAATTATGATCTCCAGGAATCGATTTAATGGAATACATTCCCCAGAGCCTTAAAAAAATATGCATCAGGTGACTCTTGTTGTGACCCCATGACCTCTATCACTGAGGCTAGTCAATCTGGCTTTTAAAAAAGCCATTTGGTTCACATGGACAACCCCGCCCCCTTACTCTTTTCAGTGTCTATATTCATATCCTCACCTAAACTCTGTGCAGGTGCAAATGCAGCCAACAGCATTAAATATGCATCTGAATTAACATGTCACTCTAAAAAAAAAAACGCCACATTTATAAACTAACTGGAAGTTTCGATTTGGGGCTTTGAAGGTCGACAGAATTAACCTCCATACAGGGTGTAATTATAGCAGTGTTGTACAAATAATTAGCCACATTATGGTGTACCATGCCAGCAACTAGTCTCCTGCTATAGATATCCCTGTCTAGCACGAACTTAAATCCTTACACCCTAGCAATGTTGACACCTTTCCATTTTTCAAGACAATAGTGTTCTTTTGCGCTTATGGGAGACAAAGGAATTACATCACAGAACCTCTACACAGTCAAAGCCTGAGCAGTACTTGAGACCATGTGCTGCCCTTGCAGCATGATTCCTCTCTCGACGTGTCTTATTTACTCCAAAGGAAACATCAATATGTTTAGAACAAAGCATGTTGCAGAAGCTGCCACATCAGAAGAGGGGTACTGTCTGTCAGAGCTTTCCTCCTAGATCAGTGGCCAACCAAGGCTAATGGCTTAGCTTGACCGCTATACGTTTTCCTCTTGCTACCCGTCAGCATACACAAAACAGAACAACACCAAGACTTACCACAGTGTTCAGCTTGATTAAGATTTCTAGTATCAGGCTCTTGATCCTCAGTGCTCTAGCTGACTCGCTGACCACAGCTGAAAATAAAACACTGACTTTAACCCATTCTGTCTCAGGCAATTGTTACATTAACTCATACAATAGTTATACACTGCATACAAAACAGTTCCATCTTGCCCACTACCCAGCAAATAAAGGACTTGTTTATTCTTCTTTATGTATGTTATCACAATCAACTCACCGCACATTGGGCATTCCCATGCATGCTCAGTCCTCTGATACAGCAGCCACTACAAGATACTTCTACTATTATCCCCATAAGAGGTGGGTGCCACATCAGAAGATCTTAGCGTTCACCAGGTGTAAACTCTGGTGGAAAGTTCTGGTTGTTCGTCCATTTCTGGGCCTTGTTTTTGTTTCAGAACCTGAGTGTTTGCAAGCACATCAGTTTTATAAATCTGGCTAATTTGTTTCCATACCATGATTATTGAGCATGTTTTGCCATTCTCATATTTTCGAAGACAAATCAGCACTCAGTGGGCGATGTAGTCAATAGTCCAACAGCTGCCACATCACCCAAGAACACAAAGAGCACAACAATGTTGAAGTGACAGTGTCTGTTCTCCAAGCATTATCCAGCCAAAAACAAGACCAGCAGTGGCTTACCCCCGAGGAAAAACTGGTTCTGCAGTGGGTACCAGCTCACTGTGTTATCTAGGAAATGAGAGAGTAGAGGAACTGGCAAGAGCTGGGAGCAATCTTCCACAAGATCATCTACCACAAAACTATGGAAACCAAAAGCAGTCCTACAACAGTCCAGCAAGGGGAACTGGAGAAGGCACAATAGAGACCTCAGACCAGAGAATGGCAACAGAAATAAACTTAGGAATGAACAAACAGTTTTCAGGCTTCTGACAGGAACATCTCTTAGAGAACTTCACAAAACAGTGATAACAAAATCTGCCGCTGGTGAATGTAGTGCAAACAGACTCCTGAGATTGTATTGCAGGACTGCGCTAACCACTTCTGCCCAAGGTTGTAGATCCTGCCCAACAGAGCTACACTAAAAGCGGTGACAAACTGGCAGTGACCTTAGATGCAATGTCCTGGTCGTGACCCTGGCTTATTTGTGTGTATCTGGTTGTTCCTTGTCACTCGGGCAAATACATTCCGACTTCAAAGCAAGTCCCTAATTAGTCGACTCCTATGACATGCCTGTTTGGGAGGCAGTGGGTCTATTCTTGTTTTTCCCACACAGAGGTATCCGGAACCCACACAGGGGATACCCCTAGTCAATAGCATGAGAACCATTACTGTAAATGACCTGAGTACAGTGACGTACATTTTTAACTCGATCACTATGCCTAGTATATGTGAAGTTACGACTTGTCATACACAGTGGCAAGATCTTCCACACTTCTACTTTTACCTTCAGCAGAATATTTGTAGTAAAACCTCAACTGACAAGATGCTGGGCTGACATCACGGGATAAGAGCAGCTAACAAACTGTGTTGTGGTCTACAGCTAGGCTGTAATATCTGAGCCCTTTCGGCCCCATATATCTGATTTTAAAAAATCCTTAATTAGTCTGATGAGAATGGCACTGCGAGGAGTTACAAGGGGATCTGGCCGATACTCGACACTCAGGGGAAAGACGAGACGGATATATAATCAGACAGCTCTACTGGTACCACTGGAATTTCAACTCTTTGCTTGCTGCTGAAGATGGGGACGGAGTGCTTATGGTGGTATCCTGATTGCTGTGATGTCAATTCTTAATTCAACAATGTTCCTTAATCAGTTGTATCTGACAATATGCTTATACACGGGCAGCAAGTCTATTCTTTTATCCTTCCAAACTGAAGCCCCAGAATCACACAGACACACATCAGGCAAAAAGGTATAACTCAGCTGTAGACAAACATAGGATCTTAAGCACAGGATGAATAATTTTTTAGAGCGGGGTGGGGGTGGGGGGGGGAGGGGAAGCACAGAAATTAGAAGAGGTAAAAGAGAGAAGAAAAAAACTTGGCATACTTACATTTTTTATCTACTCTGCTCAGGGCAGCTCTGGGCAAAACAGTCCCTGCCATTAGAAACCGCACCATTATCTAAAGAACAGAGATGAGAAAAAACAATAGTTAATTAGTTAAGCTAAAACATCAACAAAATAACACAGCTGAAAAAAATTACCAGTCAATTACAGCACAATTTGCTATTTACATCTTAACAAAGGTGTGATGGGTAATGAACAGACAGATAGATTGGCTGGATCTACACCACTGGTTGGTGAATTGGTACATGACAAGGCAGATGTGGTCAAGGCCCTTTGGGAACAAGCAACGGAATCAGCAGAGAAAGAAGATTATGATGGCCTGGAAAGAATGAGGCACCTGGATGTAACCAGAGGGTCTGGTCAGCTCACTACACTCAGAGGGACGGCAAGACGGACATATAACCAGATTGTGACCGGTACCATCCGTATTGGAACTCTGCGCTGGCTGCTGAAGATGAGGACAGAGCATGCATGGGAATGCCTCGAGTGATGTCAATTCTTGACTCAACTCAATCTTAACAACATTATCATCATTTTTTTCCTTTCCCAATAGAGTAAAGGCCTTGAACCAACTCCTGCTGTGTTTGGCATCAGTCATGCTAAATCTTCAGACCCATCAGGGAACAAAACAGTATGGTGTGTCTAAGGTCGACGCCAGCCCCCCACAGCTTCACTTCTAGTTGATGTGAGTCAAGAATTGACATCACATTCGAACACTGATTGTGGGCTGCATCGATTCGCAGCTGGGTTTGAAAGCAATTCTCCTATCAACTGCGCTAATGTAGCCCCCGAGGTCAAACTGCCAAAACTGCCTGTACTGACTTCTGCTGTACGAGCTGAGCAGGACTTTCAGCATCTGGATTTATGGTTGCATGTCTACTGCAGTTGCCATGGGCGGTAGGTTAGGCAGATTTTCTGGCTCCAGCAGAAAAACCCGCAACCTTTCCAAGGATTCGAACCTTGTCTCCCCCATCAGAGCCCAGCTTTCGAAGCCCTTCAGCCAGCTAGCATTTTTAGACAGCTTCTCTAATTCAGAACTTCTGCCCAAAGCAACATTCAGCCTGCTCTTCCTCTAATTTCAACTGTTGAGAGATTTTAACATAAGTCACCTCAAATTGTCTTCTTCACCAGCTGTAAACTCTGACAGAAAGTTCTGGTTGTTCCTCCACTTCAGAACTTTAATTTTGTTCCTGAACATGGGTTTTGTGTGTGCATCCATGTTACTGCTCTGTCTTATTGATATGCAGGCTGTTGCCCCCCCCTCCCCCCCCCCGAGGCCCCTGAACCCAGAAAGAGTCACCCATTAAAAAAGTCAGGGAGTATACTATATTCTTTCTGGAGCTGCTCTTTATCCCAGTTTTAATATAATCAGTTCCACCTCTTCATTTGCCCTTTTCTTAAAGCACTGATAAGTGATCTTACAACCCTGTACATTTCAATAAAGGTTTTCTCCCTATTCTTTGCTATCTTCCCGTCTCACCTCCCCCACCCTCAAATCTCCAATTCTCCAGGAGTGTTTTTGGTGTTTGTGTATTTTATTTTCAGGTCTGCAGGTTACAGTGCAAAGGAAATGGAAATAGTATACAGCTCTTTATTTTTTCCTACCCAGATGATGTCACAGGACAGTCCAATATTTTAGAGGGTGGTAAGACTGGTTTCCTGGCTATTTGATGCTTTTAATGACCCCAAAATATCTAGAACTGGCCCTAACCCCAACCCACCTACATCCCACAAGAATGCAGCCTAGGTACCACCCGCTTAAATATTAGAATGTCCTGTCACCTGGGAATTTCCCCTGTTTGGGGTAGGATATTATTAAAGCACCTAGTATACTACAGAGTGTGTAAATAACAGATACATTCTTGATCAGTAAGCCATTAGCACTTCAAAAACTTCTCAAACCCCACACAGGTCTGCCAAAAGTGCAATGACAATACAGTTAGCCTAGCAATCTGACAAAAAGAAGAAATACTAGAATATTTTGAGCCCAAGACATCAAGACCAAACGGCAATGTTATCTCTTCAACAACCTCTAGTCAGGCCTCTCTTACCTCAACGCCCCCTAGATCTGAGAAGGTTCTAGCAAACTTGTCCTGAGTGTCATCAGTTGTTACGATGTCATTGGTCTGCATCCTCCTTGGCTCAAAGCTCATCAACATGTTCAAAACTTTCTGTTAGAGAATATAAATTAATGAATTGTTTCACAAGACTGAAGGACTACACAAAGAACATGAAATAAACTAGTACTACATGGGTTGAAATAACTACACAAACTAGACCACATCACAGAAAGAACTTAAAGAGTGGAACCACATGGACAAGAATGAGCTAGGTCGACTCACTGGAACTGCAAGGACGAGAGTGACAACAACAACAAAAATGAAATACATCAAGTGGGTTGGACTAAAATGACTGGAACTTAACTCTTTGAGTCCCAGAGGGTTTAGCATCATAGGCCCAAGGGGTAGTAAAGAGAGACCTAAAATCTGCGCATCTTGCGTTTACTGGGCTTCTAGGTATGAACCTATGAACGTATGATGCGCTCCTTGGGACTCAAAGAGTTAAGGATAAATTTGGAACAACGATGAACAGAAGAAAAACTAACACAAAACATGTATAAGCGCAAAACAAGCATGCACACAAAACCGGAACTAAAAGCATAAGACAACTAGAAATAAGAATGAACTACAAACTTTTTGTTTTTGTTTCCTTATTCTAAATATCTGACTGTTTTCTACACTTCTTCTATGTCTTTAAACACAGATACTGTCCCTGAAATATGCTACTTAAGTATATTCTTTTTCCCCACGGCTATTCAACTGGCCGCCTATCAGATCACTGCAAACTGTATTGTATTAAAGATTTTTCTGTGCTGAAGAACCCGCCCATGGCAGCTGTATGTAGAATGGTCGGTCTTCAAGGAAAGGCACAGGGGCAGATTATGTGCATTCCTCACTATCCAATGAGGCTTCCAAAAATGCAGAGCTGACAGGGCACTCTGGTCCTGGGCTCACCCAAGGAATCGTCGCCTCCTGCACCTCACATCTATAGGTTGAGTTCTCACTCATCACAGGCCGCACCCTCCAGAGATCAGCAGGCAGCAGCCCACAGATGCAGGACGCCAATGACCACACAAACAGGTACATTCTTCCTCAGCAAGCTAGACACCTTTAACGCTGTTTTATCAGGACACTTTGCAGAACTACAAGACCAGAACTACAAACACAAAACTGTAACCACAGATAAGACAGGAACAACAAACAATAATTATAAAAATCAGTAATCATTTACATTACTGCTGGCCACATCAATCACCTACCTTCAACTCCGTGAAAGTCTCATCAATATTGGGGTCTGACAGGGTGCTGCGCTCCGAGCAGTGCTGCGTACACAGCCTATCCATGGTGAAGATGATGTCGACGACATTCTGCTCTGGTATATTGTTGAGGATGTGCCGTGGTAGCTGGGGATGCCACAGTTATCATATGTATAACTTCACTCACAGTATAGCAACAGTATTTACCTCTGCTATCTTACATAAGGAAAAATTTGAAAAGTCATCAAATGGTGTTCAGACCAGGTCCAAACTTTACACTCCGATGTAACCATCAGGTGACCTAATATAACTATTTTATACAGTTGAACAGGGTTTCCGGAGAGAGAAGGAAAATAGTCATGACAGAAATGAAATGTTTAATACTATGTTAGATGTAACGAGAAAAGGATGTAACTTAGGAACAATGATATCCGGAGGAGAGTCTGCACAGAAACAATACTGAACAATATAGGTAGACAACAAATCAAATGGTCTGGCCATGTAACAAGATTGGCATCAGACAGGTCACCACAGAGAGCAATGCTATACAGATACAATGGTAACAAAATCGACCACGCACAATATGGACAGCAGAAGTATCAGAGACACTAAAAAGTACTTTTATACGAAGCGAACAGAAGGGCCTGCTCCAGAGATCTCTGTCTGCCCTGATACCATGAGGCATTCCATGAGTAGAGAACAGAAGGGCCTGCTCCAGAGATCTCTGTCTGCCCTGATGCCATGAGGCATTCCATGAGTAGAGAACAGAAGGGCCTGCTCCAGAGATCTCTGTCTGCCCTGATGCGCGTGTGCAGGTTTTGTCTCTCGCCATCCACCCTTCTCTATATGCTTCAACGACTGCATTAAATTATCCTGGACAATGCTGGTAATTAATGGTGATCTAAACAGATTACAAATTCCAATACTTCTTGAGCCCCACTATTCTCATCTTTAAAATTACATGATCACCCATCAACATTATATGGAAAAGATGCCCGGCTCTCTAGCGAAGTTGGTTAAACCTGACTTTCGCGGCGGCCGGGTGACGAACTCCTTGTGGTCCGGGTTCACTCCCGGGGGTAGGCAGAAAAGCCACATTTCTCCCAGATTAACGGTACCTATAATGGAATCAATGCCGAAGGGTTGCGATATCCATAGTACCGAGCCAAAGGGTTTACAACTCATGGTTTCTGGATACGTTAAAAAAAAAAAAAAAAAAAAAAAATGGAAAAGATAAAAATGGAATTTACCACACAAAATCCACAACTGAATACTGTATCTCCCACACAACAAACAACACATACAATATACAATCAATCAACTGAATACTCCAAACAAGGTAATCATTTACTAATGCATTCATAAAAAGACTAGCAGGCGAACTAAAAATGTAACAAATTCCTTGAAAGAACTATGAATAAATTATACTCACACTGTTTCCACCAAAGACTTCTAATACTAAACATTTTCCTCAGCCTTTTAGTAAAATGCTAACTGCTGCAGATATGGTATACCTTTGGGAAATGGCTTCAGCCTCACTTAATTATTCTTCCCATTTTCATGTACTGCTTCAGGCATCGTAGAAGAGTTAAGATTCTGATTCTTGCTCTTCTGGCCACCTCGCCCACTGACACATTGTGCTGTTGTCTATGATTTCATCTGTCCATTATGTTCTTGTTCTACCTCCTGCTCTACGTCCAACTCCTCTTTTGGTGATGGCGCCACAAGGCATTCTCTCTTAGAGGGCATACTATTTTATTTGCTGTTTTTGTTGTGTAATTTGGAAATGGCGATGTACCAACTGTTTTCTCTTACGACCATTTTTTTTCCTATCCCTTCTGGTCACTCTTGCAGAAGTATGATGTTACATTACCTGTGTTTCTTGCAGTTGTTGCTTTCATTCCCATTCAGTGTGAGTATTTTCATAAGTTTTTTTAAAAGATGTGAACATTATTTTTAAGTAGCACTATCAGTCTTCTTCACATTTACTAGTTGTAAACTCTGATAGAAAGTTCTGGTTGTTTGTCCACTTTTGGATTTTAGTCCTGGTCCAGAAATTGAGTTCTGCATGCCCACCTGTATTGCAGATCTGGTTTATCTGTAACCTGCCTGTTGGTTCCTCACCTCTCAGACAGATGCATTCTGATTTTGAAAGACACACACGTCATTAGTCTACTTTTATGACACGCATCTTATGGGGCAGTGTGCTGTTGTTGTTATCGATCCAGCTGTGCATTAGCTTTCGCCCTTTGGAATTTACATGTTTTTACAAGCTGTTCTTTTCCTCTGTACAAGGTGTTCCAATTTTCTGGTCTCGGATGGAGTAGAGTTCTTTTAGTCAACAGTTTTTTAGGGGTAGTAACATAGCTGACACTCTGGGGAGCTGTATTCTGTATAGCTGACACTCTGGGGAGCTGTATTCTGTATAGCTGACACTCTGGGGAGCTGTATTCTGTATAGCTGACACTCTGGGGAGCTGTATTCTGTTAACATGCCCACTAAGTGGGCAGTTGGTCTATAGTCCTTTTTCCCCCCAAAATGGGGAACAACTCAGAAAAAGTTAAAATACCGTCTGTGACTGAAAAAGTTTTAAAGTATTTTTAATGTGTCCTTTCAAAACCTTTTGTTGTTTTATTATCAGTTCTTCTTCTCTGATCCCTTTAATCAGAAAACATATCAGGAGACCAGTAGCCTTGATAAAGGCTATCTATGCTGTCCAAATCTCCTCGTCAGCTCTTGATTTGTTTACTTCCTCTTCCTAAGCATAATGGACCTAAGCTGCTTGTAGTACGAACTGCGTCGCCTTTAATTTGTTGACTACCATTTTCCTTCAAACTGACATTACAACCAGCTCCTATTTGACCGACTTCCCCCTTCCAGACAAGACAGCACAAAAACCTACTGCCTTTATTACCACTCACCTGTGTTAATCTGAGAGGTCCATTACCGGAATATTCCCTTTCAAAGTGAAGACGGAATGCTGAACCGCCCGCCGCAACTCCTCTCCATTTCTTGCGGGCCAACATTTTGGGTGAATTCTAATAAATGTACTACATCTACGTTTCCGCTTGTATTCCTTTATCGTTCAATTCTGTTTTCTTTAAACTTTCCAGATTTTTGCAAACCGCAGGTCAACTTGAAAGTTTCCGTTCGTGAAAAGGGAACATGTCAGCTTTTTTGTATTTAAAAAACTTGATTTATTCATCTTTATGTTTGTTTTCTTCTGATTTCTTAAATTTAATTTTATTATGTTATTGTATAAGTTTCTAACAGTGTGTAATTAAATAGCCGCTTCAAATATCTACTGGTGTGGCCAAATAAAAAATTCAGAATTTTGTCATGAATTATCCAGAATTGATGTCAAATTTTTCGTCAAATCATCAAGATTTCTTATGTTTGAGACATATTTTTCGTTTGATGGCATAACAGATTTAACACAGACAAATGGCAGTAAAGGGGGTAAATTGTAAATGTATACATGAAACACTTGAACAACCGGGTAAGAAATTTAAAAAAAAAATTAACAAGCAACGCCATTTTCAATTAGTGCAAATCCTTAAAAATGCATCGTTCGACACATCTGCCTCCATCAATTTCATGCTCATTTTGTCTTTATGTCCTTTGTTTACGATCGCCTTAGTCGACCTCTTTCTTGTCATCATGATCAAGTGCACTGTCAGCTGGCGTAGGCGTTCATGTATCTCGGCAGATCTCGGTCTTTGAGGCTCCGGATCAATTCCACTGATGATATTCCCCCATGCCACTGTCTTAAGTCATCCACCATAATTTCTGTTGGTCTACCCCTGCCTAACTTTCTTGTAGGTAAAAAAAAATGGTGTGGTCTACAACTGTTCTTTCTAAACAGCTGTGACGCTTTATGTTTATACTTTTGTGACGATTAATATGGTCAGCAGATTTCAGATAAACGATGACGTTTGAGAGTTTTCTTAGATGCTCTTGTAAAATACGTTTCTCCAGTTTGATTAATATTACACAATTGGATGCAGTACGGATTTAGCTGCTAAACTGTAGCTTAGGGCATTACAATATGCAGGCACCTCGACAATTTCCCCACACGAGGGTTATTTGTTTTAAAAATATCTTATATGCAATATTATTTTAATAGTAATTATAGTGCTTTTAAGCAGATTATACAATATAATTTAGTTTGTCAGTTCTTCTCTATCGAGTAGAATGCTGGAGAATGACCAAAAAGGGTGCGCACAAGCTATCCACCTTCCACCACACATGTCTACGGAGAATTATCAAAATTTGCTGGCCAATCTCAAACACTAAACTGCTTCAAGCCACAAACCAAGAAACTCTATACAGTGTAATAACCAACAGAAGACGGAAATGGCTTGGCCACGTTATGAGAATGAATCCTGATTTCCTGCCAAAACCGCTCTCAGAGGGAAAGAGGAAGAAGGGGCGCTCAAAAAAAAACATGGAGACAAACGATGGAAAGTGACATAAGTGCAGCATCTCTGAAATAGAAAACTGCACTGAAGATTGCACATGACAGGAAAGCATGGAAAGTCCTCTCTGAAGTCTCGTGCCACTAGGCATAAATAGAACTGATGATGATGATACTATATAATTTATGTGATTTTGCAAAAAAATATTTCTTTTACTAACAATTAAACGAAAATGTATTTCCGTTTCCATATATTTAAAAAGCGAATATATTATATTATATAAGATTAGCAGGTGTCATATGGAACATTAAGGACTCAGAGCTTTAAATAGATTAGAGCTTCGTCGAGTCTAAATCCAGCCTTGATCAGGCATGTAGATTTCAGTGGAAATAATGAAGCAAAATGTAGAATGTTTGAAATTATTTACACCTGTACACCAGTAGCAACGACGCAAATGAATGCATTATAAGGTGGTAAAACCTGCGCTTGGATCTCAATCCAACGAAACAATCCTGATACCTTCGCCCTTCCCTACTCCCTGAGGCCATCTCAGATTCCTTCTCAGAAGTTATAAGAAGGACGCTTGAAAATACTGTTTCTTTGTTCATTCGTCTGTTCATTGTAATAATGTTACTTTTTAAAAATCAAATGGCAGGATATGATACTAAACACTTTTTCCCAGTAAGGCAAATCTACTTAGCATCCACACACTACTGAAGAAACACTACATCCGAAGTTAAGTTTGGATGTTGAGTGATCACCATAAAGGGTGTTTAAAACTCTGCCCCCCCTCCTTCCCCATATATATGAAAACGTCAAAAGTTAAGTATCTTTTACAGGCCGTTGCGAAACAACCCCAGCAAGTTTTTGGTCGCGGGTGATTTCACTAGGCAATATTATATTTAGTAGTTTGCTCTAAACTCTAAACTCTAAACGGTTGGTTCTCGATACTACTGTTGGGGAGAGGGAGGGGTGGGGGCGGTCTGCCTGCCATACTCAGAGCTTCTGTTATAAATATTTGTTTATGCACTTGTTATTATCGTGCCAGACTGGTATCATTATCATCATCATCATCCCGTAACACTACGTGTCGTTGGGTCACCAATTTCTTTTGACTGATCAGCTCTCTCCGCCTTTGGCTGTCAGTTGCGATGGACTTCGTAGTTGCATGCCTGAGGCCTGTCCAGTCAGTCAGGTTATCTAACCAGGTCTTTCTATGTCTGCCTCTTCTCCTCTTTTCCTCTACTGAGCCCTGCAGTATTGTTTTTGAGAGGTGCCGTTAGATCTTATTAAATGTCAATAAAATTGCATTTTTGTGTGTGCCTTTTCACAGTAGTTAAATAAGGTTCATTGTTGCCAATGTGCTGTATAATTTTATGGCGAACCTTTTCGTTTGTAATGTGGTCTCTGTATGATATGCCAAAATAATTTTTCTGAAACATCGCATTTCTAATGCTTGTATCTTTCTTTCAAGTTCAGCTTTTAAGACTGGTATAGAAAACTTAACATCAACCCAAAGAAATAGGGAATAATCACAACTTATATCTTAACATAGCAAAAACAAAGATAATGCATACAGATAAAACTACTAAGGAGAAAACAATATGTTAATGATAGAAAGACTGGTGGTTGGGTCACTGATTAGCAACAATGGTGACACAATCAAAGAGATTAAAATACGACTATCAATTGCTCTTTAAAGACTAAAACAACTGAATAAATTATGGAGTGGGACAGACAATATTACAAAAATTAGATTTCTAAGAGCATTCGTCTTTCTCATTGCAACATACGCCTGTGAGACCTGGCCACTTACTAAACAATCTGAACAGCGCATAAATGCTTTTGAATGCAAATGTTTTAGGCTGGTTCTTAGAATATCATGGGTAAAGAAAAAGAAAAAGAACAAAGGCATTCATACTTCAAGAACTGAATACTGATGAGGGTTGGCTATTAAAGATGATAAAATACAGAAAATTGAAATATTTTGGTCACTTGAAATGTCACAAAAGTTTAGGGAGAACATAATGGAGGGGTATATGCCTGGGAAAAGAGGAAGAAAAAGGCCAAAGAGAAAATGGGTGCAGGATGTGGCGGATGATCCCAGATGGGTGTATCGGAAGCGGGACATCTTGCTTGTGATCGAGTTTTCCGCAGGTTGTTATGGAAACAAGGTTCTGCAAAGGTCATGCTACTGACTGATGATTGTGCCATTTAGCACTCTATTATTATTATTATGCACTTAAACGAGATTATTCCTTGAGCTGCCGTCTAGCAAACATGTAGAGGGATGAGCTCCCCCCCCCCCCCTCCCCCTTTCCTGTGGTTGAAGCAGCGACCCTCTCTGGCAATGGACACAGCTTTGTTCTACCCTGAACAAATTTTCCACACAACCTGAGTCTAAGTCAGAACGATATCGGCTGTTTATGTTAGCACTTCGGATGGCTAGTGTTAGCACTTCGGATGGCTACCGTATGAGTTTAATGCCTCCGTATGCCAGCGCAAATGCTGAGAAAGCAGTTTGTCAATCTTTCCACAAGAGACTGTGATGAACATTCTGTGTTATTCGCTGGGTTACTACCATTGTACCATGATGTTGATCTGGTGTTTAAACCTAAACCTATACATACAGGAAATCGGCTATCTTCCAAATAACGGTCCCAAATTATCGAAGCAGAAAATATACCCTAACAGAGCCTCAGTCACGTGTCAATTGCGCACCTCCGGGGACTATAACGCCACCGCCAAATTGCGAACTTTCGGCAACCTCCGCCACCGCCGGGAGTGTTCCATACTCCGCTCACGCGGCTTGGATTGGAGCTAAACTAGAGGGCTAGGACTCACGAGCAAATAAAATGAAGGAAGCTGCAGGAGATGCGGTAGCTGTTGCTCGTGAGTCCTAGCCATCTAGTTTAGCCTCAATACACGCTGCATGAGCGGCGTGGGGGAAAAAACTCGACGGGTGCGGAGGTTGCCGAAAGTTCGCAATTCGGCGGCGGCGGAAGTCGTTGGGGGTCGTATTTCACGACGACGGAACTGCGCAAATGCCACGTGACTGAGGCCCTGTTGAGGTATATTTTCTGCCTCGATAATCTGGGACCGTTATTCAGAAGATAGCCCAAGAAATCTATAAATAAACTGTAGATGATGGTGGGTTGCTCATCTAGCTTACTTCATTTTTAAAGGGTCACAAAAAGAGATATACAGACATGCTCTGTGAAGAGTGGCAAGCATCGCTTCAGAGGTCCCGGGTAGTTAGCGTCCTATGGATATTTAATACACCTCTTGCCCTCAAATAAGTATGTCGTAAACGGTGACTGATCAGGGATGTTTGGCTATCCTCCGAATAACGACCACATATTATGGCTGCCAAAAAAAAACACATCCTGACAGGGCCTCAATCACACGTAAATTGTGGACTTCTGTCAGGCAAATATACCGCGGCAAAAGTATGATCAATTTCCGGAGATGATGTCGCAAAACGCAAGAAACCGCCAAGTTAAAATCGCCGCTGAGAGTCCCCTCGCGCCGCTATGCGCGGCGCGGAGCTAGACCAGAAGGCTGGGACTCACGAGCAGCAGCTACAGCATCGTGCAGCTTCCTCATTT